ATGCACATTTAATGACCTTGAAACCTTTAAGCACCAAGCAAGGCTCTGTGTGCAACACTCGATGGGTGTGGTGTATTGATTCGATAAGAAAAATTGAAACAAACAAAAAATTATATATTAAAGACATTTTTATGTTTAACGTTCTTTTTTATAGATACAAGTATTTAAGTAAATGCTCTGTTTATAATAAACTTCAATCTTCCATAATAAGCATTTATAAGCAGTAAATTTGACCTTGCCTACCGAACGCTCCTTTGTGGCCGAGTCGGTTAAGGCACGTCAGCGTAAATGATGGTTCCGTATAGGATGCAGGTTCAAATCCTATCAAAGGACGAATATTTTCTATGAAAATTTCTCGGACATTCAGGCCGCTAAATGTTATTTAATACTGTTTATTATAAACAGAGCATTTACTTAAATACTTGTATCTATAAAAAAAGAACGTTAAACATAAAAATGTCTTTAATAAATAAATTGTCGGACTTTGTCCATTTCTTAATATATAAAAAATTATATATATATGCTAAGTGAGTTGGTTCACTGTCTTGTACTGGACATTTTTTTCTCTCCAAAATCTATCTTATATATCTTATATATCTATCAGTCTACAATTTGCCCATGCTTAGAGCATTGCTTCCACATTAGGACAGTTTGATTTTTCACTTTCTTTAGAAAACCAACATTGCATTCTGTGTGAAAGATGGATTTAATATAAGTACTGAAAGCAAAAATTAGGTTCATAGCTTTTACCAATTTCTGAGTTTTAAAGATCATCTATGAAAATGTATGGAAATACCTAATTTCTGCTGGTTTTTGCTTACAAACTGACTTCAAAATTTTACTGTTTCAAAAATAGATCTAAATAAAGTTGATATTTTTTTTTATATTAGTTACATTGAATGGAAAATTGATTCAAACCAGAATTCTGATTATGAATCACCACAAGCAAAATATGCAATTTTTTACTGCATTAAATAAGTAGAAAGTGTGTAAAAAAAATTGTAAAAGATTACGAAAATGGCTGAATAAATAAGATCTTATACCATTTGTTAGTTGAAAAAAATCAATCAAAGCAAAAAAAATAAATACGTGTATAGAACACCAGAATATCACTGGTCACAAATTATAAGACAAAATGTTTTAAATTTCTACAGTTTATTGAAAAATCAAACTATTGCACTGTATAGCATATTACTTCATAATATAGCTCAATTGTTGAATTTCCCTTTGAAAGAAATGAAGGTACTATTTGATAGCACAATTATTTAGTAATAATGTGCATGTGCCTTGCACCTTGTTCATATACAATTTGTAAAGCTTCAGGAAATTATAAATTTTATAAGGCTTATGTCATAAGGCTTTCACTGATCACCAGAATGAAATTTGAATGCTACAATTTTGAACCATAACTTAACCTTTAAATTTGTTTCCTCAAAAGAACGTAATGATTTGGAAAAGAAATATTTTGTGTTATTATTTATAATGTCAAACCTCAACTTTCAAAGTGAATGCAATACCACACTTTCAAAGTGAATGCAATACCACACTTTCAAAGTGAATGCAATACCACACTTTCAAAGTGAATGCAATACCACACTTTCAAAGTGAATGCAATACCACACTTTCAAAGTGAATGCAATACCACACTTTCAAAGTGAATGCAATACCACACTTTCAAAGTGAATGCAATACCACACTTTCAAAGTGAATGCAATACCACACTTTCAAAGTGAATGCAATGTGAATGCAATACCACACTTTCAAAGTGAATGCAATACCACACTTTCAAAGTGAATGCAATACCACACTTTCAAAGTGAATGCAATACCACACTTTCAAAGTGAATGCAATACCACACTTTCAAAGTGAATGCAATACCACACTTTCAAAGTGAATGCAATACCACACTTTCAAAGTGAATGCAATACCACACTTTCAAAGTGAATGCAATACCACACTTTCAAAACTGATCTGCCCTTCTAGCACATATGGTCTGGTGCCCCTGCTATAGATCTTGATAATATCCAAAGAAAAATCAGCAATATCATTGGTCCTGGTCTTGCATCTCGGCTTCAGTCACTTTGCCACAGCTGTAAACTTGCTTCCCTGTGCCCTTTCTATAAATACTTTCATGGTAATTGTTCTGATGAGATCTTCACTATGGTACTTAGATTTTATGTATATAAGTGCAGAACTAAACTGACAATGAGGTCTCATTGAAATACAGTTGAGTTGGTTAGATGTAACCATAAGTTTTATGCTAACAGTTTTTCTCGCACTTCTCACTTGTGGAAGTCTCTTCTAGCTGTATGCTTTTCAGCCAACTTGAATTTTATATTTAGAATTCTTTTCCTTTCACCTCACTGGTGGTATTGTGGTTTTGTTTGTTCTTCTATGCTATCATGTGTGTGTTTATAACGGTGATAATCATAACACATCCTTCACAACCCAATATGACCATCAGAGTTATGAAATAAATGTTTACTATAAAGAATGGTATATCTTGATTTAAACCTCAGAAGTTAAAGAAAACTTACAGTCTTCAGCTGAATAGATTACAGTAATTGCTGATTTCGGTCCATAGCCAATGTTATTTTTTGCTTGCACCTGGACTTCATATTCTGAGTAATAGTCATCTTTCCCAACTAGTGTCACATATTGACTAATACTTGCTGGAACTACTTTCTGTTGACAAGAAAAAAAGAAAAGAAAATCATAAATGACTAGCAGTAATACGCAAATGATACTGAGAAATTCATAGACAAGTAGAAGACTATTGATTGACTGATTCATTGATTATTTTTTTTACAAACATAGACCTTTGTGCCCACAGAAAGAAGAAGAAGAAAAAGAAAAGAAAGAAAAAGAAAAGAAAGAAAAGAAAGAAAAAGAAAGAGAAAGAGAAAGAAAGAGAAAGAAAGAGAAAGAGAAAGAATAGGAAAGAAAAAGAAAGCGTTTCAAAAGGACATTTTTTTCATTGATACTGCTATTATTTTAACTACGTTCACTCCATTAGCAATGTTTATTTAGAAGATTATTTTAAAACATTTTATGTTTATATGTTCTTTTTATAGATACAAATATTTAAGTAAATTCTCTGTTTATTATAAACAGAGCATTTACTTAAATATTTGCATCTATAAAAAGAACATATAAACATAAAAAATGTCTTAAAATAATTGTTGGACTTTATCCATTTCATAATGTGTGACGTCATTTGTTTACATTTGGATATGCATTGAGTAGATATGAATGTACAAGAGAAAACCATGGAGAATTGTAGTTTAAAAACAGTAAAATTGATCTTGATAACTGAAATGCTCCTCTGTGGCTAAATCAGTAAAACAGGTCAGGCTATATAATGGTTCCTTATAGGATACGGGTTTGATTCCTGTCAGAGGACGCATATTTTCTATGAAAATTTTTCTGACATTTAGGCCATTGTTAATACTGTTTATTATAAACAGAGTATTTATTTAAATATTTGCATCTATAAAAAGAATGTATAAACATAAAAAACATCTTAAAATAATTGTCGGACTTTGTCCATTTCATAATGTGTTAGAAGATTATAAAAAATTATTTACCTTTTATAAAGATTTATTATTTACCATTTTATAAATAAATAAATGTGAAAAATCTTTTTATTCAAAAACTTAAAGAAATTAGAAAATTATCAAAACATGTAAACCATCGACAATGTAATATTTATTATTTATCATTTTATAAATAAATATGAAGACAAATTTTTTTTTTCTTATTCATAATTTTATATCAATGAATTATAAAACAAAATTTGAATAAACATGATTTTCTGGACTTAACGCATTATGGGACATTCACTTCTTCAACTCTTCTAGAGATAAAAGTTTAATCAAATTTTATGAGATCATATAAAAAATATTTTATTAGTAAAAAACTTTAATTCAGTCAAAGGGACACAACACCAACAAAAATAGTAACCACTATGCTTGTACATTATAATACAAATATAAATATTAATCTTGTTGTTATAAAACTGGTTTGTGTTTATTCTTATTTCCTACTAGCAGTAGAGCCTGGCATTGCCTGGGGATGTAACAGTAAGAGATAGATCAAGTATCGACCATCATAAAGACTGAAAAATAAAACTGACAAAGATTATTGTTTAAGGTTGACGGACACGCATGTCTTAATTAGTTTTTTTGTTTTTGTTACGAATTGGTTAAAACCAAACTCGGACAAAAGCATTGTTTTCAATCGTTATGAGTCTATCGATTGAATAGAATTTTATTATAAACAATTGTCTTGTAAATGGAATTGTTAAAGCATTCTGAATGTAAAAATAAAGAAAAAAAGTGTGCAAGACAATAAGAAACACTACCTGCCAGAAAAAAAAAGTGAAGTTTTGTTGAAATCGGTTGAAAAATGTAGGAAATCCGATCCCATATATAAACGAACACACACGCATAAACAACCTGGGTTTTATAATAAGTATAACTCGATATGAGTTGTCCCCCTTTCATTCTTGTGATCCCTCTTAATCATGTTTTCAAATTGATTTTGTGCAAAAACAATTGCATTTTTCCAATTTTTGGCACTGTTAGAACCACCGCAAGGTAATTTTATGCAGTCCTGTGAAGTTTTGTTGAAATCGGTTCAAAAATGTAGGAAATCCGATCCAATATATAAACGTACAGAACACACAACCTGGGTTTTATAATAAGTATGATTTTGTAGTATTTTGTATTAAATATAGATTAAGAGGTCATACCAATTAACTAGAGATATTTTGTTCATAATTTTATACTTTCAGGGTATATTTTTTAGATATGTAGTTTGTAGATGAAGGTGGTAATTTTAGTATAAAAATGTATTTTTATACGTTTTAACGTTGTATCAACAGTCATTTTACTATAAAAAAATGTATTGTTGGTAATATTGCTATAAAAAAAATGTATTGTTGGTAATATTGCTATAAAAAAATGTATTGTTGGTAATTTTACTATAAAAATATACTGGTAATTTTACTATCAAAATATACTGGTAATTTTTATTTGGGGGTTCACTATTTGCACACAGGTGGGACATTAACAAGTGCTAACAATAACCCGGGCTAGGGTAGACCTGGGATCAACAGCAGTTAAAAGGTGGAACTACGTTCCTCAAAACCTCCAATCCCCTGATCAGAAGACTTCCTGCCAGATTAGCCTATCCTCATACCTAGGATGGACTTCCTATTGAGACAGGATTTCTGGGGCTGAATAGCCAGATATAATTTGGCTGGTGATTGGTCAAATTTAGCCTTGAAACATGTATCCTCTGTATGTCTAATCCTTGGAAAATTCATCAAAAACCTTATAATGCATTCCCAAAGTTTCAGTAGTTTGTGGCAAACTTTGTTTGAAAGAAGATTTTTTTTTTTTTCACCAGAAAGAGAAATACTCAGCATTGCCCATGAGCTAATATTACCTAAATAAAGAGACAGACAGAAAACATTTTATTTGCATAGAAAATGATCATAAAATGACTAAGGGGAGTAACCATGCATAATTTACTGACTTACTTCCCTTACCTGCCCTTTGTCGCTCTTAGAATTTTTTTTTTTTTTTTGCTATATCTCAAACTCTTGCCATCCATTTACAAAAGCTTGTTAGGTAGGTTATGCGCTGTTTTTCCTGTCTTCAATATTTCCTGTAAGTATCAAATTTTCCAAGCCATGAAGAGGACACTTGAAGCAACAGAAATGTAATTCTACAGAAAATTGCTGAGAATACTATGGACTGAATAACAAAGTTTTAAAGAAAATGAAAACAAAGGACATTATATTTAACATGTGTTGGTTTCAAACTGTAGGAAGGCGTGCAAAACACTTTCCTCCTCTTTCTTTATAGGTAGAAGCACGCAAATGCATGATGGGATTTTTTTCTTAGCCAATAAAATAGGCCAGTTAGCAGTTTCATATGACTCCGTCTGCATTTGCCTTGTCTTGAAGTCAGAATGCTATGTTCACTTGTCTGAACTTGCTTTTGTGTGTCAATGTCTGGCATATTTTGTTTACTTGCCTTATATTCTTTTTGCTTTGTTACTTTCTTTTCTTATTACAAACTTTGTCAGTTCTGTTTGTTGGAGAGTTCTGTTAGGTATTTTTGCATTTGAACATGGCTACTTACTTCACATACTGAGGAAAGAGGGCTTGAAAAATTTGATACTCACAGGGCAGATTGAAAGCAAGAGGGGAAACAGTGTACAGCCTACTTAACAAGTTTGTGTAAATGGTTGGCAGAACAGAGTTTAGGAGAGATAACAAAAAGACAAGAGTCCAGCCGATATTAGATTTGGTTGTAAATATGTGTATGCTTGACTGGTCAACTGTTTTTTTTTGTTTTTTTTTTAAATCAATTTACCCCAAGCAAAGCAATAATGCTACAAAAATGCAATGGGTTACTGGGAATGAAAGAGAATGTAAAAGACTGTTGCAGGCCCGGTAGGGTGCAGCGTCGGTTTATTACTAAGTGGCCTTGTGCCAGACACCACACTAAACTACCGAGTCTACAAGCAAAGTAAAAAGATAAAAATGTGTGAATGAACTACGAAGAAATGTGGTAAATCCACAAGTGCATAAAATAAAATATATTAAGATAGCCGACACAGAATGACAGAAAAAGACTGGATTCAAACAAGACTAATTTTTTATTAAATGCAGGAAAAACAAGTAGCTTATCCCGTAGTAGGGATCAATGAATATGTTCCGCGCCAAAAATAGAAAACAAGATGGCTAAAGGCGGGAAAAGTTCTTGAAGAAGAAGAAAGGTTCCAGATAAATCAATGTACATGATAATATACATACAAGAAAAAAATACTCACTGCGAGTTTTTGCTAATGTGAGTGAAATGTTATGTATATATTTTTTTTTCTTTTTTTTGTACTGGTTCAAAACAGATTTATGACGAGACCCAAAGTGGACGACGAATTAATATTTTGGATGTTTTGCATCATCTCGGAGAAGGACTTTGAATGACGAGCCAAAAGGGATGAAGAATTAATATTTTGGATGTTTTGCATCGTCTCGGAGAAGGACTTTGAATGACGAGCCAAAAGGGGACGAAGAATTAATATTTGTGGTCGCATCGTAAGAATATCCTTCGTCAGTCAACCTAGAATATTGACATGGATAAAAATGAGTCTGCCCAGGTCCGAGTCTGGATCACAACTAACTCTTCTGAAACTACAGTTTGTCGTTGACGTCACAAATTTTCCGCAGGAAGATTTCAAAATCTAATTTGCATAAACAGGAATAGCAGGTCGTTTTGACTGCCGACCAAAACAGTTACTACTGTATTAGACCGAAAGAGGCAGAAAGGGGTGTCAAACACGCAACAAGACAATAATGAGTGTGGAAGAAAGGGAGGAAACTTCAAGGCCACAGAAAATGTCGTAGATGGAATAATACATTATTCCACAAGACTTCAGAAGGAACTGGCAACACAATCCTAAACAGGAAACAATAGATAAACCTCTACTCCTGTTCAAAAGATCAGGGAGGAGGAGTGTGAACTGGATGATATGCAAACGTAGCTAATCCTATTGTGGAAAAAATAAATAGTAAATAAAATTTCAGGGTATAGTTGGAGACGTCAGAAGCATAGAGTTGAAACCCAATCCTAAATGGGGAAACAAGGGATAAACCTCTACTCCTGTTCAAAAGATCAGGGACACATGTGAAATGGACAATAGGAGAAACTATCTACACCTATAATGAAATTACAAAATTATTCAAAAATTAATTTGACAGATCAATTATAAAACGAAATAAAGAAATCACAAGTCCAAAATCAAAAGATTGAGGGACAGAAAGAAATGTTGAAATCATGAATCACAGGTCCACTGTCAAAAATCTCAATACATGGAAACAGAAATCCAATGCACAAAACAACAGTCACTCACAAGCCGACGAGGTAGAAAAATAAACTATTTCCTAATTGGAGACCACCGACCACTTTTATTGCTGGAACAACTTTTTCATTGGTCGACAGAGAGGACAAAAAATGTCAGCATATCCGAGATGCGAATATGGCACCAGCTGTCACTGACATATTTCTATTTTGATTATTTTGTGTTTGGCATATTGTACCGTTTTTCTTGATAACTGACTGTCTCTTTTGCTGCAAAAATAAAAACTGATAAATTTAAAAAACAAAAACAAAACTAAAAAACATCCTTAAGTGTAGCAGAGAGAGAAAGGTGTAGAGATTTACACATTGATGTTGTTTTGTTATTTGTTTTCTATACAAAGATGAAAAAAGTAGGGAAAAAAATGCTTACTTCATTCCATTTAGGATCATTTAGAACACTGTTACTTTTCTTCCGCCAGTAAACAATATATTTGAAGTCATTTCCATTGTAATCTTCTTCTGACATTGGCTGTGGTAATTAAAGAAAAGTTAATGACATTATTGTATATGAATGTGTAGATGCACATGATATGAGGAGAAGGATGAAAAGAAATTAGAATTCTTTGTTATTATAAAACAAGATTATCATCATCTTATATGAATATATGAATAAATAGACAACAGACTTGGAATATAAAGAGAAATAAGGGTAAGAGAAATAAGGGTAAAAAAAAAAAAAAAAAAAAAAAATGACTATGACAGCAATACAGGAAATGTATGGAAGATGATGAGAGAGGAAAGGAGTAGCAATAAGGAGGAGAGAGAAAGGGGGGTGCCAAGGAGAAAGAGGGGGGGGGGGTGCCAAGAGAGAAAGAGGAGGAAAGGGGGAGTGCCAAGAGAGAAAGAGGAGGAAAGGGGGGGGGGAGGCCAAGAGAAAAGAGGAGGAAAGGGGGAGTGCCAAGAGAGAAAGAGGAGGAAAGGGGGGAGTGCCAAGAGAGAAAGAGGAGGAAAGGGGGGGAGGCCAAGAGAGAAAGAGGAGGAAAGGGGGGGAGTGCCAAGAGAGAAAGAGGAGGAAAGGGGAGTGCCAAGAGAGAAAGAGGAGGAAAAGGGGGAGTGCCAAGAGAAAGAGGAGGAAAGGGGGAGAAGAGAGAAAGAGGAGGAAAGGGGGTGCCAAGAGAAAGAAGAGAGGAAGGGGGGGGTCCCAAGAGAGAAAGAGAAGGAAGGGGGGGTCCCAAGAGAGAAAGAGAAGGAATGAAGGGGTGCCAAGAGAGCGAGAGAGATAAAGTGGTGCCAAGTGAAGATAGGAGTGGTACATTGAAGAAAAAGACAAAAAGAGCACAATGAAGACAGGGCATAATTAAAACAAAAAAAGGGTCACAATGAAGGAGAGAAGACAAAAAAAAGGTGGCACAATGAAGGAGAAAAGACAATCAGTATGGAGAATAAGAGCACAAAGAAAAACAAAAATTATTTTGATTTAATCATTGCAAAAATCTATCAAATTTGGGAAATTTCTATTTGGAGAATTTTTCCATCTATTTCTAATTTTTTGATACTCCTTTATGTAGTTTTTGAGGAAAAACAGCATCGAAAAGAAATTCATGTAAACATTGTTGACAAACAGGTGCCAAACAAAACAAGCAGTACATGCAAAAATTGCATTTTTCAATTGGAATTTTTTGATGAATCAATTATTAAACTAATGACTGAATAAATTCATTGAAAGTTCTACAACATTAAATTATCTGTGGAAATTTCCTCGCATCATTAAATATTTGAGCTTAAGAACTTGCAATCATAAGTATGAATACAGGTAATTTTATAAAGTAGTAAGAAGGTACAAATGAAAAGATTCAAACTTGACAAAATTTTCCATTTCACTGAAGCAGAAATTAAATGCATGAGAGCATTATTTCTCTTGTCTTATGTATTTTTTCTCACTAAAACCAAACAGTAATTCCAATTTATTTTTTCTTCTGTCTTTCATCACAATCAGGACAGAATAACCAATTTACAGGAGATATAAGATTTTTCAGACAAAGGAAACTAATACTGAGAAAACTTACTTTCCAGGTAATAGTCAGTGTCCGAACCTTGCCACCTCCCCCACCAACTTCATCTGGAGCTTTGGTTGGAACATCAGGTGGCATTTTGATCCAATCTAATTAGAAAAAAAAAATCAAGATCAAAAGAAACTTTTCATGCATTGTTCAATAATAATTGCCCATCATAAAATACTGAAATTGAAAACATCACTTTTGTTGTCAATACCTATCAGTAAAAAGATGTAAACATCAACTTAATCATTGGCCCTTTCTAGTTGACATCAGCTATGTCTCAATTTTTTTTCTTGACACTATTTAGCTATGGTAATTGGCTAACTAATTAACCATAGAAATTAAAACAGAAAACTAGACATTCTTAAAGCGAAAAACCTGTTGAAATTGCTGTGTGTGAGGTCTTGTTGATTTATATCTCACCGAGGGAGATAGAAAGAAAGGTCAATATGAAATTATTGGCCAAATCACGTGCTGGTCGTAAAAATTTCAACTGGAGATGATCGCTGATACAGGCAGGGAGAATCAATGTTAATTATCTTTCCAAGATATCATTTATTTTTTTTCTTGGCCACCAGTGAGAGAGAGAAACAATGTGGCGGCTATAAAATTTTGACATTGTCTCGACATAGGGGAGGTAATTACAAGCCGGTAAATGTTATTAATACTGTTTATTATAAAACAGAGCATTTACTTAAATATTTGTATCTATAAAAAGAATGTATAAACATAAAAATGTCTTAAAAACATGATACCTTTGTTTTTAATGCATTCTCATTTGTTTGTACATATATATCTGTCCTTGTTGTTTCTTTCTATGGGCTCACATCCTTAGTTTGCCAATTTTGCTGTGGGTATTTCAAGAGAGAGTGTGTTATTCACAATTTCAAATACCAATGTTACTAACACCTGCAATGAGTTGGGAACCACATACACCAGCCCACAACAAGGTGTTCAACAACCATTATGTTGATTAATAGATTCAAAGTTTGATGATGACAATAAGGTGGCTTGAGGGATGATATTGTGACAGCTATGAGTGTTCACCTGCTTTCTTAAAAACAGGACACACAGGTATCACTTTCTACAGACTTGGGAAGCATCACCCTCTCAGGCAGCAATTCTGGGCTGATATTCTAAAGAACAACCACTAGGAGTTTGTTCAAACTGGTAGGTTTGTGCTCTGTGAGGAGGTAGGTTTGTTTGTTTTGATTTTATGGCATATCAACCTCAATGGGTCATTTAATGCTGACAAAATTTTATTGTTGGTAATATTTTTTTTTTTTAAATCTATTTTTGGCAATATTTTTCCTTCAAAAATTCTATTTCTGGTAATAATTTTTTTTTAATTATATATTACTGGTAATATTTTTCTTTTTTTAAAAAATGTATAGCTGGTAATATTTGTTTTTCAAAAATGCATTGTCTTTTTTGGTTTTCTTTTTAGATTTTTCTGTAGATCCCAATTTCTTTAGTGAAATTTATGATGTGATTCAGATTAGTATTTTTGAAAAGATCCTTTAGGTTATCTGGTTTGTAGTGTTTACTATGGTACCATTGTCAAGGTACCTCATTTTTTAGGAGATGTTGGTGAGTTATGTATGTGTGACCAATATAGAGTTTGGCTAGAACCACCTCCTCTCTCCTTATCCTTCTGGAACTTGCCGGTCTTTCACTGATGATAGGTTGAATATTGAAAAGTTTGTTATCGCAGTTGTTCCATAATTGCTGCCATTTGTTTTTAATGGTCCGTTTATGCAGGGTCTGAAGACCATGTGAGGCAACATTACTTTAGAGGGAGCCATGTTCAGAGATTTTTGTCTGCTTTTCCATTTCCTTGTATGCCAATATGGCTCGATATCCAGCATAAAACTATTACTATATCTTTTTCCTTATGAATGGAGTCTGTGAGGAGGTAGGGGAAAGTCAATTAAGGTGTGGCTCTTATTGCCTAAAGTAGAGTTCATAGCAAAAAACCTTGCTGTGTCATATGAGGATGCATAAAGTTCAGGGCCACTTATGATAGCTAGCACAGTTGCCTTGTCTATATCGGCATCATGTTATCAGACTAATTTCCCAGATGACACAACTTCGACACAAATCTATTGTCACCCGACCACCATATTGATGTCAATGGATGATAAAAAGTCAAAGAAAATTTAAGTGAAAAATGTTTTGGTGATGGTTAATGAAGGTAAATAAAGCAATAAATAAAAGACAACGTTGTAAATAATTCAAAGGGAATATATATTCTGTTTGTTAAGTCTTCAATTTTTTTTTTCTAAATAAATGATTAAAAGATAAAAGATGATGTGAATTTACCAGTAGCGAAACTGTTCCTCCCAACACCATATCTGTTGATTGCTTTTATACGAAATTTGTAGACAGAAGCTGGAGACAAATTATGGATCACTGTGGCTTTCATAGCATTGTTGAAAATAAATACTTTGTCGACTGGGATTTCTGAACAAAATAAAAAATAAGAAATTAAGTCATTGCAACAAATAGTTGACGAAGACAAAAGAAAAGCAAATGGGGGGGGGCAAAGCAAATAGGGAAGAAAAGGGGGGACAAAGCAAATAGGGAAGAAAAGGGGGGACAAAGCAAAGGAAGGACAAAGCAAAGGGGGGGAAAAGGGGGGACAAAGCAAAGGGGGACAAAGCAAAGGGGGACAAAGCAAAGGGGGAGGGGGAAGCAAATGGGGAAAAGAGGGCGGGGAAAAGAGGGCGGGACAAAGCAAATGGGGGACGGAGGAGGAGGGGGGGCAAAGCAAATGGGAAATGGAGGGGGGAGGGCAAAGCAAATGGGAAATGGAGGGGGAGGGCAAAGCAAATGGGGAAATGGGGGGGGCAAAGCAAATGGGGAAATGGAGGGGGGCAAAGCAAATGGGGAAAATGGAGGGGGCAAAGCAAATGGGGAAAATGGAAGGGGGGCAAAGCAAATGGGGAAAATGGAAGGGGGCAAAGCAAATGGGGGGAAATGGAAGGGGGGCAAAGCAAATGGGGAAAATGGAAGGGGGCAAAGCAAATGGGGAAAAATGGAAGGGGGGCAAAGCAAATGGGGAAAATGGAAGGGGGGCAAAGCAAATGGGGAAAAAATGGAAGGGGGGCAAAGCAAATGGGAAAAAAATGGAAGGGGGGCAAAGCAAATGGGAAAAAATGGAGGGGGCAAAGCAAATGGGAAAAAATGGAGGGGGGCAAAGCAAATGGGGGAAAAGGAAAAAGCAAATGGAGAAAAGTGCAACAAATGAAAAGAAAATGGGGGGAAAGGTCAAAGGAAAAAACAAAAGTGGAAAAAGTGGAGCAGAAGAGAAATGGTTTCAGACAGAAAAATGGACAGACAGTTGCAATCATTTAAGTGCATTTTTCAAATTAAGGATTTGATATTCTTCTATGTTCTCAAGATCTACTGTTCTTTTTAACAGCTTGAAATAATTTCTTTCCTTTTGTTTAATCTGTTCATGCTTTTTAGATTTCAAAAGATATCATAATTCAAATATGTCTGCATGAATTTCTGATATGAAAAGTTAACACTATTTACATCCCCCACAGGACAATAGACGACTGGATTGCAAAATTGCTTACCAAATAATTACGAGTTCAATCCATGGGCTGGGTAGTGCAAACAGAGTTTGCAATACCTAAACAGTACTAAAAAACAAAACTAGATATCCTTAGACATGGTCAGTGGAAGAAGAACAATCTCATCCTATAGATTAAATAAAGGTTTCAGTCCAAATTTCCACAAAGCTTATCCAAATTGCCAAACTTCTGAAGAAGGTTAGAGGAGGGAATAAAGGCTGAAATGTTGTGATAACAACCACATGTTATGAACCTAATGATGATGATGATAATTAATTATTGTTATTTATATATTTTTTTTATTATGGAAGATAACTTTATGTTATAGAAAAGAAATTTATCTTTATCATCTAAAAAAATTTTTTTAAATTATTTTTTCATTTTTTTTTTAAATCTGTATCACCCTATGCAAGACAGTAAAGTCATTAAAACACAAGGGTGTAGAAGAATCAGGAACAGAAACTTTAATAATGAGTGGGAAGAAGAAAGAATAATCTGGAGGACAGTAGATAGTGATTGACATTGCATTTAAATTTTTGCATATTAAAGTTGGCCGGAAAGCATGGAGCTAGAAAGAAGTTCCACAAGTAAGAAGTGCAAGAAAAGAAACTGCTAGAATAGAACTTATGGCTACATCTATCCAGCTCAACTGTAAATTGAGGAGATCTTGACAACAGTCTAGTCAGTCGGTCAGTCAGTCATGTGCCATGCATGATACACACTTAGGTGATTATGTATCTTTCGATACATGATTGATGAGACAGATTTTTCCTGTGGTAGGTTGCCATTTCATTCTGTGGTAGACCAGTTGCCATCCAAGGCTATAGAACCCGGTCTGTTCTGCTATTTATCCATAGCTGGGTGGAGAAAATGAGGATTCATACCTTTCCCAAGGGTATTAGCACATAAGTGAATGTAATGGATTCAACTGGAATTCGAACTCGGTTCTCAGACTCCTCAGTCCGAGCTGTTATCCATTACTCCACCGTGCCTCCCAGTTTAGTGCTATGCTTACATTCATGAAGTCTAGGTACCATAGTGAAGAGGTAATCCAAACAATTACTATGAAAGTATTTATAGAAAACACACAGAGAGGCAACCTTATGGCAGTGGGAAAGTGACTGAAACTGAGCCGCCTGATTAGGACCAATAATATTGCTGATTCTTTTTTGGAGCTCATCAAGGAGCTCAAGGTAAATAGCTGGGCCAGTGAACCATATGTGGCAGCAATATTCAAGCATGGCTGAATGGTAGACTTAGATATACAAGACAGATTCTGGAGAGAAAAATTGTCTCACATGACACTGTGAACTGACCTTCCTAACAGCTGACCCAACAATGGATACAATGTAATCTTTCCATTTCATGTCAGCTGAGAATGTTATCCCAAGAAGGTGCAATGAGTCACCTTCTTGGAGCTTAGCATCAACCAAGTCGATGAAATGCAGTAAGGGGTCTCTTAGATACAAGATATTGATGCAACTTGAGATATCACCAGTAGAATTCATTCAAATCTTATTAACTTTATGACATAGGCAACTATGACTCTTCCCACATTCCTTTTCTTTATCATCTGTAAATTGCTTTGACTTCTTGGTAAAATTAGTAGTTTCTCGTTTTTTGAATTCAAAGCTGTCCTTCTCCTCGACTGGCCTCTATCTAGTATTAGAAAGCTCCGTGTACACTGCTATTTAATCCATAGCTGGTGGTGGGATGAAATAAGAAATTCATACTTTTCTCAAGGTCATAAGAATGAAAGTGACTACAACAGATGAGATCAGAATTTGAACTTGAAAATCTCACTTTCTGTGTGGATAATGGAGGAACTATGAAAGATGGGTTTATTCTCCCATTTGCATTTTTGCCATTATCGGCATTATAATATCTATGATATAATAATACCATGTTTCATGGATGAAATAGAACGGCTGAATGAAAATGGAATAACAAACATGCTTTGTTCTTGGAGGACTTTTATGCTAGCAAGTCATAAACAAAATAATATCTACATATTTACATGTGTCTCCCACAGAGAAAATAACACATATGTCACAAGCAGAATGAAAAGAGAATTTTACATATAATAATTCTCAACAGGAACTGGCATTGCCAGAGATTCCTCAATATTTCTGGAGAAGCCATATTTAGGATTCCAGATTTAAGTGGGCCAGAACCATCTGCTATGCTGTTAGCAATGACATATTCTGGAAATGGAGAATTCTGGGTTTTTTTCCCAACATGAGGGCTGCGAGTTGGAGATATTTTCTATGTCTGGTGAAGATATATTTACATAGGGAAATGGTGCCATGGGCTTGTAAGCTACACCACATGGCTGAAGTAGATTTAGCCTCAGCCAAAGCAAAGGGAGCCAAGCTAAGAAAGTCAGTGCTCTGTTTGACTCCTGGAAGCTGACTGACTGCCTGCCATCACATGACAATGAAAAGGAGATAACCACCTTTTGTATCCTTACATGGATAACTTTTATACTACTCATGCATGTACTTTATTACCAAATTTAAAAACTCAACATCGTTAAAAGATGCATCAATCAAAATTATGAAAGATTAAGGTTTACCTGAATTGAAACCCATCAGGGCTGAAGCAAGGGTCCACTGGTTATTAAATGAAGTTTTGAACTCAACAGAGTAATAAGTCACAGGACTGCCATGGTCTACCTCGCTCATCCAAGTCAACAAGACTGACCGAGAATCAAGGCTAATTCGTGGGTCATTATTTGGAACAAAGTTGGATACTTTTAAACCTTGAGGTTCTCCTGGGGGACCTGGAATTAGAATTTTTTGTGTTAGGATATTACTTAGGCAACACAAATCCATTGAAACAAATTTTGGTGAATTCAATTTCATTTTTAGCTTTCAAATAAGTCATACATTGAAATAAAAAATATGGATAAACTTTTCAATATTTATATTTTTATTGTTTCATTTGAGCACATTCAACCTTCTCAGTCATTAACAATCAAGAACGGAATTATAGTAGACAAGATTTTGTTGCCTACAGCCTGGCATTTTTGGAAATGCTTACCATTTAAATGTGCACTCACACACAGAGTGCGATGAATAAATTGTCGCCTAAGATATGCCAAAATGAAAATAACACAGACATCTCATCTTAACAGCTATATTTATCAAAATTACACAAAAGTATCTTGAAACAATAAGTAAATTTATTCAATAAAATCAGCATTGTTTCAACCATGTCCTAAGGACGACTTCAGAATCTCCTGCAACTCTTCTAGATGGTCCCCTTGTTTTTTTTTTTTTTTTTTTTTAAAGTGTTTCACCCCAAGCAAGGCGGGAAGCCACTAGGATGCAAGGGGTTACAGAAGATTTGGAGCAAGATCAGATACAAGTGATAGAGGAAAGGATGAGGAGAAGGATAGTAGATAGATCAAGGCAACTGGAGATGTCGATTGACATTACATCTGAATAGTTGGAGATTATAGCTCTCAGAGAAACTGGAATAGGGAAGGGAGTTCCACAGGCGGGAGGTGTGAGATATGAAGCTATTGGAGTAGAAGAGATGGCTACATTTAATAGTTTTGACAGTGAAAGGGTGAGAGTGGGATGCCAGCCTTGTAGGGCGCTTAAGTTGGTCTCTTGCTCAACTGCACCCCCACACATAATAATCAAGGGGGTTGGAGCCTGGGGAGTTAGGTGGTTAGATGTAACAGGTGATGTGGTCACTGAAATTGTCTGACAACAATGACTGGGTTATGTGGCATGGTGCAGAGTCCTGTTGCCTCTTGACCCAGGGCAGCACTACCTTCTCAAGGCTCTTGATGCAGGCCTGTGTCGAGTCTGAGGGCCTGTGTCGAGTCTGAGGGCCTGTGTCGAGTCTGAGGGCCTGTGTCGAGTCTGAGGGCCTGTGTCGAGTCTGAGGGCCTGTGTCGAGTCTGAGGGCCTGTGTCGAGTCTGAGGGCCTGTGTCGAGGGGCCTGTGTCGGCCTGGGCCTGAGTCTGAGGGCCTGTGTCGAGTCTGAGGGCCTGTGTCGTCTGAGGGCCTGTGTCGAGTCGAGGGCCTGAGGGGCCTGTGTCGAGTCTGAGGGCCTGTGTCGAGTCTGAGGGCCTGTGTGTCGAGGGCCTGTGTCGAGTCTGAGGGCCTGTGTCTGAGGGCCTGTGTCGAGTCTGAGGGCCTGTGTCGAGGGCCTGAGGGCCTGTGTCGAGTCTGAGGGCCTGTGTCGAGTCTGAGGGCCTGTGTCGAGTCTGAGGGCCTGTGTCGAGTCTGAGGGCCTGTGGGAAGTTGAATAGAGGCATAACATTGCCACCATGAATGATCACCCCAAACACCTTCATAATCACTATTAGATTCATCCAAGTCTTTCTGAATCCTCTGCACTGTCCTCAGATTGATGCACAAACACACTGAAATGTTTATATTGGAGCTTCCAGTGTGAATGCCAAGCACTACAGCATGCCATTTTCAAATTTCTGGCATATTGAATTGTGTCATGGTGCTCACAGATGGTGCCCAATTGACCCAACTATACTGTACAATGTTGACTGCACATTAGGGTAGGGACAAGAACAATATGCATAATTACAAATGTAAAATGGTGACAATTTAGCTATCACACACTGTATATATAACTGAACCACATAATCGAAATAATAAAATTATAAGGAAAAACTGTATGGAATAGGGGTTAGAACAACATACATTTGTTATATTTCTACAAAATTATTTTCTTTTTCTTTATCCTCAACACTGTTCAACAAGAGATTACATATTTACACTATTTACATTGTTCGGACTGTTGCCTTCCTCTTTATTGTCATATTTACAACGTTTTGGCCATTGTACACACTAGACTTCTTCAGTTGCAATTTTGAACAGAACCCTTTATTTAATTTATGGGGGTAGAATGTCCTAGTTCCACATGCCATGCCTTTTCTGGATATCTCAGTTTCAGCTAATTCCCTTTAATAACTTAAATATTCATATTTTCGTTCACCTCTGCTGTGGTCAGGTATTGAAGTCACAACACTTTGGGTCAAATAAATGGATTACTTCAACACTTTTATTCACTGGGTCATGTGTCCTTGATGCATGGAAGTAGAACAATCTAAATAAAGGGTTTGGTTTGAAATTCCACCATCACTTGAAGAAGATGATACAACAGCCGAAACATTGTGAATACGACAAAGATGAGGACAACAGTCTGAACAATGTAAATAGTTACAATACCTCATCTCAGAGATATAGACAGAGACAATTGTGTGTATATATATATATATATATATATATATATATATACAAAAGCAAATTTAATGTGACCCTCAAACAAGTTTTCTACTGTCTGGTCAATTATTCCCCCACATTGCATTTCAATATTCTTGATTGAAATTTAACAGGAGTGATACTCTTCGTAGCTGCATGGTAAAGCAAGCTGGATCAAATGGTGATTTTTCCTACAAAGAGGGACACATTTGACCCATGTTGGAGAGCTCATTTTCTTCATTAAGATTTCTTGAATGAGCAGGCTAATAGAATAGACAGTGTGCCTATTTAAGTTGGCATTAAATGACCCATAAAGAGTTGATATGCCATTAAACAAACAATCAAACAATTTAACAGGAGAACATAGGTTTGCCTATCATCTGGTTTATATTCCTTCCTGGTTTTCTGAACTGAAGGAGAGGTTTATTCCTCCTTTCCTGTTTAGGACTGGGTTTTCAGTTCCTTCTAAATCTACTTCAACTATATTTTTAAAGTCACTGCCTAGACATTTTTTTCAATAGGATTAGATATGTTCACCTATCATCCAATTTACACTTCTCCCTGGTTTTTTGAACAGGGTAGAGGTTTATTCATTGTTCCCTGATTTTGATTGGGTTTCTGGTTCCTTCTAAAGCCTGTCCATATGCTTGTTTTCCCTCAATCCCAACAATCTTGAACATTTCATGTCTATACCTTTTCAACTTCAAAATGATAACTTCAAAATGGACTTATTTTCAAGTAAAAAAAAAAACAATCAACTCCAAAATGGAACAATCAACTCCAAAATGGAACAATCAACTCCAAAATGGAACAATCAACTCCAAAATGGAACAATCAACTCCAAATGGAACAATCAACTCCAAAATGGAACAATCAACTCCAAAATGGAACAATCAACTCCAAAATGGAACAATCAACTCCAAAATGGAACAATCAACTCCAAAATGGAACAATCAACTCCAAAATGGAACAATCAACTCAAAAATGGAACAATCAACTCCAAAATGGAACAATCAACTCCAAAATGGAACAATCAACTCCAAAATGGAACAATCAACTCCAAAATGGAACAATCAACTCCAAAATGGAACAATCAACTCCAAAATGGAACAATCAACTCCAAAATGGAACAATCAACTCCAAATTGAGAATTAATATAATACTAAATAATTTAATATTTATTCTTTAATTTTTACTTAAAAGGGATATAAAAAATATAAATGTTCCTAAGAAATTTATTTAAAAGATTATCTTAGCATTAACAAACTTCTTGCCATCATGCTCATACAACACCGTAACCATTTATCTCAAGTGGCTCTTAGGCCTTGTATTGGATGAACAGCAAAAAAAAAAAAAAAAAAAAAATTCCTTGATCTTGTTGTTCACTGAAAGCTGGGGAAGGGCGTGAAGCCTGTTCACAAGGAAACATGAAAGACAAATGTCAAGAAATAAGAACATGAACCCCATTTCTCACATGAAAGTAAGATGTTTTATTCATGCCTGCTTGCCTGACATTGTCTGGAGGGGGATGATCCCAGCATACAGCACCTTTAGAAAGTGCCTGAAAACCACACCAAAGGTTGACGCAAGGCTTGTGAGTGAAACTGAGTAGACGGATCACTTGGGGGGGGTCGTCGATAGCTGTGCTGGCATGAAGTCACAAGTCATCATGGCTGAGAGCTTGTGTGTGCAGGCATTGTTCAGATTGTTGATCATGCTAGATAACATGCTCTCTCCAAGAAACTAACTAAGGTCTGCTCAGCATAGTTGCAGCATAAACCACAGGTTGTCTCTGTGGGTGTTGAAAAAACACAAATGTGCCTGAGCGAGAGTGTGTAATATGGATTGGCTAGCCGACCTAGTAGACGGGTATCCTCGAATATGATTGGCCAGCTATTATATATATAGCTATATATATATATATATATATATATATATATATATATAGCATAACTGTCCATCCCACAAAATGTTTAATATTTAAAAAAACCACTAAACTAATTGAGTTTCTTTTTTTCCAGGTTTTCAGATAAGACATTTAGCCATCTTGACACCATTTGTTGTAAGAATCACTGAAAAACACTGAGTTATTCAGCTAGAAAGAGAATATGTTAAAATTGTTTTGTGTCAGACCCACTGTCTTCCCAAATGACCAATGGTGAGACAAAAAACATCATTCAAAATTTCAGTAGTTGTACCACCACTCATACTCTGGCTTCTGTCTTCAAACTCCATTCAAGAACTATGGCATGTGAGAGAGGAGTTTCAGCTATGACACTTTAAAGAGCCGTGAAAAAAAGACTTGAAGATGAAATCGTACATGAAATATGGGGCACCTTGTTACCCCAGCACAAATGCTTAGGTTAGAGAGGGGGGAAGATCATCTTGAATAAGTTGGAAAATAATCCTGGAATAACATATATATATATATATATGTGTGTGTGTGTGTGTGTGAAAATATATAGAAAATAGGAAAGAACTGGTTAGGTAAATAATCCAAAGTTCCTTCGTATTTTTGTCATTATTTTTAAAAAAGTGCTCAATACAAAAGTAGAGCATAATTATATATATATATATATATATATATATGAGCTTCTGATCCTTAGCAATGATTAATTAATGATGAACATGTCATTGTCATTTATGGTCAGTTTCATCATGATTCTTCTGTTAAGCTTGGGGAGTAATTATACATTCCTATTACTCAAAGTAGAGTTCAATAGTGTTATAAAAACCTCAGAGAATTCCAGTAAGATATCTTTAATGATTTCTAAGATACAATGGTTAAGCGCTTAATCTAAGAATTGGACAATTTTGCTGTTACACGATTTGGACAAATATATATATATATATATATATATATATATATATATATATATATATATATATATATATATAGCCAGCCTATTTTCACTGATACATATAGGATTCAAAACAGACATTTAGACAGTAATATTTGGGTTCAGTGTGTATAGATACTGTCGGTAAATTTGGAATTTCAACCAAATATTATCTTTGATTACTGACATTACAGTATTTAGTGAATGAACAATGCCAGTCACCAGCTTGTGGTGTCAGCTTAACACATCAAATGTTAATTGAACTTGAATATGGAAAAGATAACCCAAAAATGAAAATGGCTGAAAATATATCTGAAAATTATTTGGTTAGCATGTTGTGTTCAAATTCTATGTACACTTTAGTAAAAGTTTGTGACAGACCTTGAGAAAATTAAATTTGATAAAGTAAAAAAAAAAAAAAAAAAAAAAAAGAAAAGAAAGAGAAACAACTGGACAGCAAAATGTAAAAAAAACAATAAATAAAAAAACAATAAATAAAAAAAACCCAAAAAAAACAACAACAAAAGTGACTGACCTTTGACAGTAAGGAAGGCCTCACTCCAAACACTATTAACAATTGTCTTAACAGTGCATCTATAAATACCTTCATGTCTGTACATAGCATTTCTAATATAGAGATCACCACGATTTATACCTGTTCCCTGGAAAACAAAATAAAAAAAATTATTTTTAACAAGAGACAAAGGTAATCATCTAAGAATAATCAAAAATAACATCCACAATGTATGAGTGGGGTGCTGAAAATGTATGAGTGGGGTGCTGAAAATGTATGAGTGGGGTGCTGAAAATGTATGAGTGGGGTGCTGAAAATGTATGAGTGGGGTGCTGAAAATGTATGAGTGGGGTGCTGAAAATGTATGAGTGGGGTGCTGAAAATGTATGAGTGGGGTGCTGAAAATGTATGAGTGGGGTGCTGAAAATGTATGAGTGGGGTGCTGAAAATGTATGTGGGGTGCTGAAAATGTATGGGTGGGGTGCTGAAAATGTATGAGTGGGGTGCTGAAAATGTATGGAGCTGAAAATGTATGAGTGGGTGCTGATGAAAAATGTATGAGTGGGGTGCTGAAAATGTATGAGTGGGGTGCTGAAAATGTAAGTGGGGTGCTGAAAATGTATGAGTGGGGTGATGAAAATGTATGAGTGGGGGTGATGAAAATGTATGAGTGGGGGTGATGAAAAATGAAAAAATTTATTTGTTTTAGGACACTTCCCAAAATCTCACCAAATGATCAAACATTAGACTTTTTATTTTTGAATCCCTTCATAATGAGAATTTTCAAGTACCAACACACCCACAAAATTCAAGGAATCTGACAATCTAAAAAATTTAAATGTACCTGAGGCATTACTAAAGGTGAAGTGCTAAGGGCGATTGAGCAATTTTTCTCCATTCCACATATACATGGGACAACCAAAGCACTTTTAAAAAATTGTGTCACATTCTATTAAATTGGTCCTGCAGTTAAATAATCTACTCCATGTGAGGGGTACTGAAAACTTCATGGTCCAATCAAGTTCCTAAACAAATCCTGATATTTGACCATTTATTTTGGAAATTGGTTGAGATGAAAACTTTTCAGTATATATATATATATATATATATATATATATATAATAAAAATAAATAAATAAATAATGTAAATCTATTTAAATTCAGTAACTAATAAATGTTTGTTTTTTTTTTTTTTAGTCACGCATTTTATATCTTTTTAGGCTAATACTAATTTTAGGCTTTAGCCATAATTTTATCAATAAATTTGTTCCTCGTTATTTCCTCCTTAGCCAGTTCACCCTGATGATCCAAGTGGTGAAACCTAGGCAGGTAGCACCTGGCTCATTAAGATATATATATATATATATATATATATATATATATATATTGTTGGAAGTGTTACCTGATGATCCAAAATCCTTTAAAAAGGATTTTGGTGAAATAAATTATTGTAATGGTACTTTAAAGTGTCTGTTGTTCATTAAATAATTTTATATATATATATATATATAAAAAAGAAATATAGTTTTAAGGTGTGCTATATTTATGGGATAAAATGCTCAATATCAGAGAGAGTGTATATAAATATAAAAAGTGAACATTTAAGTCACACAATCAGAGGCCTGACAATTGCATCTTTCATGAAACAGCCTGTCACCTCTGAGTGTTGACAATGTTCACTTTAATAATAAATATATATATATATATATATATATATATATATATATATATATATAAAAACAATTGGAAAATGTTCATGAAAGTAGATTTGTTATGAAATATATCTAATATTGCATTTCACCGTCTAAGGCTTCATCAGATATGAAAGTGAAAAAATGAGATGTGTATATGTGTATGTTTAAATAATGAAATCTTGTTTTATTTTCCAAGCTGGCATTTCTCATGACTAAAAAAAAAACAAAAAAAAAAAAACGGTGACTTTAAAAAATGTCATTAACATTTAATTTCTTTATTTTCAGTTTTTCAGTTGAAATATTCAGAATGGGTAGAAAGTAAAATATTTGTTTTGTTTTGTTTTTTATTCATGGGTTTTCCATATTGACAGTATGTTTTAAAATAATAAGATTTCATTATTTAAACTTACACAAATACATGCATCTCATTTTTTTTGTTTGTTTTGGATCTGATGAAGCCTTAAATGGCAAAATGAATTATCAGATGTATTTTGAAACAAATCTACTTTCATGAATGTTTTCCAATTGGCAAAAATTTAAAAAACTTTGTCAGGATTATATATCGTAGTTTTAAAACACATACATTATATATATATATATATATATATATATAAAAAAAACACTTCAAAAGTTTGAAGCCACCCCTAAAATTAGCATATGAACTTGAAAAAAAAAAAAAAGAAAAAGGCCTCTTAGAATCATTGAAAAAAAGGATGGAATCAATTATCAAAGTTATACTTTGAGAAACTTTTGCAATGAATGCAAAAAATTTGTTCTGCAGTAATAAAGGCTAAAGGAAGATATTTTGACTAGAGCAAAATTTAATCATAAAATGCTTTTTTTTCTTTTTATCATCATAAAATTTCTAATAAAAAACATCTTTTTTTTTTTTTTTTTTAACCAGAGGTGACCTAAAACCTTTTGAACTGTAGTGTATATAAAAATTAAATTTTCAACATGTTGTTGGATTCCACCTAATGTGATATTGAAACCTTTCGAAATTCACTGATGATATAATTTTGTTACTATAACAATTATTTAAGTGAATACTTGTGTTACTTGAGTACATACGTTTTTTTTTGTTCAAAATGGTGAAAAAAAAATGTATAGAAAGTCTTATTAAAGAAATGTATCTCTTTGCAGGTTTTGAACCTGTATTTCCTTATTCTGAGAAATTACATTTTATCTAGGCATGCTTTAGATCTTGATCACAGATTTGGCACCATCCTAAGATCTCATTATTTTAATTTTCTGGGCCTTTCTTTTGCCAAAATTCTGTTGTAATATAATATGGATTTCCAACAATGGTATACGATTTCAAACTGGTTATTAGTCACTTCTGTATAATCTTTAAGGGCGGAGTTCTGGTCATAACCTCCCCCACCAAGTCAAATCTCATCATGCCCCCCTGACTCAGCCCAGGCTCCATCACCTTCCACCATTCAGCCTGATGTCACCACATCACACCCCTAACACTGAGCCTGATAGGGCCAGTGGAGGGGGCATCACCACCCACCACTCAACCCAATAGGGCTGTCCTTGTCAACCTCTGACACAGTCTGATAGAGCCGGACCTCATCAACCCTATGGCCATGACCGGGATTGGAGGGAATTGCTCATCAACTTTCTGTCACTCAACACAACAGGTCCAGGCCTCATCCCTCTGACCACTCAACAAAATGGAGCCATTTAGTGGGATACAGTATGGCTCAGCTGCAGAGTCATTTATCATTATATATAGTTTTTGTTGCTTCCAGAAATTCATGCAATATCAATAAATCAAACTTCAATTTTACTTACTCGGACATAGAAAGGGTTGTATCGGAAATCAATTTTATAACCATTAAAGGACCAACTATAAAAAATATCTAATTTTGCATTGTAAGATGCCAAACATTTCATAACTGCGGTTTCATTGTAAATGACAGTCGTTGGCATTGGTGGAATGGTAATAGTCGTTCCAGCTGTTAAAAGAAAAGAAAAATAATATAGACATCAAAGATGAAATTAACATTCACAATAAAAACATCAAAACAAAAGTCATTCTTTCACACAAATCAGATTCTTCTGATAGCTTTTGAAACAAATATTCAGTATGTTAGTAAGTTGTTCCCCTTGGCAACTCTCTAACTGGAAAAGTGATGGCTTACCCAGAAGAAGCTGAGTGGCCATTTTAGATAGGACACACACATGGAGAACAAAGGAGTAAAAATAAAGCATTCTCTTTCCATTACATGTCAGAGTTCCTTTAATTTGAATTTACACAGTAGAATCATCATCAACTCTTATTTATGCTTTAAATTTCTATTACAATCAGATGAAGCATCACCAATAAAAAAAAAATTTATTTTTCATTTTCACATCTTTTGTCCTCTACCCCTCCTCCTTCACAAACCCCTTTCCTCCCCCTCAGATTCTGGCTTTGATTGATCTTCCATCTGGTTATATGCACATCTAGATATCTGCTCTGAAAGTGCCACTCGGCTTCTCATTGGCTTATGGCCTTATATGCTGGTTGTGAAAGCTTTCTGGGACTTATGGCTATATCACGTTGAAACACCAATTTCTGTATGGTCACCCGAGTTAAGCAACATTGAGCCTGGTCAATACCTAGGTGGGTGACCATTTGGGAATACCAGGTCATGTAAGTTTTGATATGTGGGTGGTGTAATGGATAATGGTTTATAAACCAAAATGTGATCAAAACGGAATAGTCTATTATTTATGAAGTATTGGAAGGGCGTAATGGTCGTGTGAACTAATGAAGGGGAGGGACAAACACAATTTTAGTAGCTTTAAAATCCAAAATATATTTTGAATTGTAAGAATAATTTTTTTTGATAATTTTTGGAGATAGCGATTTTTTTTCAGATACAAAACTTATTTAACCCATAGCTGGGGGAAGAAATAAATTTATATCTTTCCCAAGGGTATTTTGTGTATAAGTGAATATAATGAACCTGACTAGAATTCAAACTTGGCTCTCTAATTTTTCACTCTGAGCCACTGTCCATTACTTAAAGAGATGGTAAATTGTCAGAAATTACATAGAGTAACAAAAGATAGGAAGCTGTGTAGAACTATCATTGGCCATGTCCTGAAGAGAAACAGCACGTTAAAAAAAGAAGAGTTTTTTCTTTTATTCTTTCTTTCTCTCCTCCATCATTCTTTTTCATTTCTTCTTCTATTCTTCAATTCTTTATACCATCTGCACATTTATCATAAGAGGAGGTAGAAGGAAGTACAGATTATGAGGATAGGGAGGATAGATAATGATTTACACTTGACTTGAGGAGGTTAACACTGCTGCAGTCAAAGAAGCATCTATATAGGAGTTAGTTCCACAAAGTAGCTGTTCTCAGGGAAAAAAATATCTGAGTGGAGCTTCCAAATGGAATGTGGTGGGGGATACAATTCAGTGGAAGTAGCATAGCTTATCCTAGCTGCAAAGGCATGTGCATTGTTATCTTCAGGGCTGTAGCAGAGTCAAATATTTTGGGGGTGGGAAAAAATAAATTTAGCCTTAAATTATCAAAAGTCGGCAACATGTTTAACGGTAACAACATTTAAAATTTCCAATACCTCTAGATTGGCAGAAACCATCTTTGAAATAATAGAGAGCCATCTGTATTACAAATGAAAGAACTTCTTTCGTCAGGGTTTTATGGAAGTTATATTCTTTCTTGCTTTGATAATTTTCTTAAAAAATAAAACCCTGTAAAACACACAATTTTAAAAAAATTTTTTACCTTTCTTAAATTTCTTACCTTTTTACTTACAGGGCTTCTACAGCCCTGTAAGTAAAAAGGTAAGTAAAAATAAACAAAATACATCTTACTTTATTCCTTTTAGCCATGTTGATGGAGACAAATAAAAAAATACTTACTTACGACCGTCAAATTGGTTGTACTTGAAGCTGTTCCAAGATCATTGGTGGCTTCACATTTATAGATGCCTTCATCAGATTTTTGCACGTTTGTGATGGTCAGTTCTCCAGAAGGACTTAAAATAAAATGTCCAGAAACAGAAGACACCGATAAAGGCTGATTGTTTTTGTAGAAAGTGATCGTTGGTGTTGGCACTGCCTCTGGTCGGCATGCAATTGTTCCATTCCCGTTTACAGAGGCCAATATTCTTGGTAGAAGGGGATACTTATGAAAGTTTGGTTTCAGTGCTAAATAAAAGATACAAAAAGGGAAAAAAAATAAAGACAAAACAGGGTAATGTTATCTAACATAAGTTTGTTGCTCCTGGTCTAGATGAAATTTGAATAAATAAAAAAGAGGGAAAAAGAGAGGAAAAATGAAAGAAAAAAAGCAAAGAGAAAAAACAAAAGGAGAAAGAGAGGAAAATAGGAGAGTAGGAAAAATGAGAAAAAGAGTGAAAGGGGAGAGAGAGAAAAAAAGAGAGAGAGAGAGAAAAAAAGAGAGAGAGAAAAAAAGAGAGAGAGAAAAAAAGAGAGAGAGAAAAACAGAAAGAGAGAAAAACAGAAAGAGAGAAAAAAAGAGAGAGAAAAAAGAGAGAGAAAAACAGAAAGAGAAAAACAGAAAGAGAGAAAAACAGAAAGAGAGAAAAACAGAAAGAGAGAAAAAAAAAAAGGTAAGTGAAAGAAAAAAAAAAAGGTAAGTGAAAGAAAAAAAAAATGATGTGAAATTATATTATATTCTTTAGGGATCAACAAATTTGAGAGGCATTATAAAAGCATATAAAAGTGGTCTTCATTTAGTGACAAAAAGGTAAGAAACTTAGGCAAAGGACAACAAATTTTTGCCCAGTCCCCATAATCTCCGTCACACTGGAATTGATATTACACAGACTCCAACTCTCATAGTGTAATGAAAAAGTTACTCTTGCCAGGACCAGGCACCTTCCATCTAAAATGAGAAAATTTTACTCCACTTCCTGCCAAAAGATAATATCATTCACTATGTATGCCACTAAAAAAACTACAAATTCCTTACATAAATGAAAAATTAACAATGTCTTTTTTTTCTTTCTCCAGTTTGCATTTATCTTCATTTGCACACTTTTTGTTTGATTATATATATATATATATATATATATATATATATATTACACACACTATGTTTCAGTTGTGTTCCTTATTCTGTCTTCCTCTATTTATATTTATTTTCATTTATTATATTCTTTACATTTACTGGTATTATTTTATAATTCCGTATTACATATTCTTAAAATATTTCTATAAGATGCACTGCAATATGTGGTAAATGATGATTGAGCAGAGTGAAATACCAAATGAATTTTAATTCTAGTAGCTTCCTTTATGGTATACAATAATATCATTAATAAGAGTCAACAAAATTGAGAAGAATTATAAAAGCATATCCCACTAGATGCATCCATCAAGAGATCTTGGATCTGTGCTCAAAGATTTATGCCTCAGCTGTTGCTAGCAAATCCCACTATTCATATGTAAATTATACAGCATTACAGACTGGACTGAAATTACACAGCATTATCGGACAAGAGGGGTCAATCCCAGCATACGACACCTTTGGAAAGTGCCTGAAAACCATACCATGGATTAACCTAAGCCTTGTAAGTGAAATTGGATAGATGGACCCCTTGGGGCCTGACGATAGCTGTGGTAGAATGAAGTCACAAGTCATTGTGGCCAAGGGCCTGAGCGTGCTGGTTTTGTTCAAATTGTTGATCACACTAGATAATACACTCTTTCCCAGGAACTGTAACTAAGGTCTGCTCAGCATAGTTGCAGTATAACACAAATGTGCCTGAGCAAGCATCTGCAATAGGGATAGTCTAGCCATTCTTGTGTATGGGTATATTCGAATACAAGTGGCCAGCTATACATATATACATACAGCCTTACAGCACATGCCAGATTAAGAAATTATTTATGATACACTGAAGAAAATAGTCTTTTACTATTTTACTCCACTAAGCCTACTAGTATTGCTCAAAAACTGGGGTCTCTTTATCAGTCAGTTAAGTACCATATGTGGTATACACTTAGGTGATCATATGTCTTTTGGTCCATGACTGACTAGACAGAAGATTTTCCCTAAGTAGAGTCACCCTTTCTGCAGTAGAATGGTTGCTAACCAAGGCTATAAAACCTAAGATGTCTTGCTACTCAACACAGAGATGTATTTTGACTTTTATTTAGTGGCATATCAACCTTTACAGGTTATTTAATGCCAGAATGTAAATATTTTGAACATAGTTTTATGGCTTCAGCTACAGATAAAATGCATCGCTGGTGATTCTACTATAAAATGTATCATTAGTAATATTTTATATAAAAATGTGCTACTGGTATTTTTACTATAAAAATGTATTTTTATACTTTTATAGTGTTTGGGGGTTAACTATTTGCCCATAGGTGGGGGAGTAACTATTTGCCCATCACTGGAACCCTAACAGGTGCTACCACCCCAGGTCAGAGTGGAACTGGGAAAACAGCAGTTAAGAGGTGGTTCCGTGCTCCTAAAAACCTCCTGATCAGAGGCATTGCTGCCAGATGTAGTTTAAATATAAAAATATAATGTAGTTAAAATATAAAAATAAATTTTTTATATTAAAATTGTCAACAATACATTTTATGATCTACAAACTATATATCTAAAAGAAAAAAAAAACCTTTAACCTGATACTATAAATTTAGGTACAAAATATCTGTAGCTAAAAGCATAAAATTATATACAAAATATTTAAATTTTGACATTAAATAACCCATAAAGGTTGATATGCTGCTAAACAAAAACAACCAATCAACTTATACAGAAGTATATGAAGAAAAATTTGGAAAAAACAAACAAAAATCCTTACATGCAATTATGTTGTTTAAAATGAACGAAATGTCGACGTCTGACGTTTCGGTTTAATAAACCTTCTTCAGGACAATATTCATTAAAATACAATTCAGTTCAATTTGAGAAAGACGATGGACATAAAAACAAGTCTTATCCAAAACATAACTGAAAATTTTTAAAATGATCAGCTTTCCGTTTAGCAAAACAGAAGTATATGTAATAAATTTGGGTATGTAATACCAAGTGAGTTATTGACAGTTGGAAAAATGTTCATCAAAGCATGTTTTAAAAATAAAATCTGATAATGCATTTCGCCTATATGGCTTCATCAGATAAATAACAAAAAATGTGTTGTGTGTATGTATTTGTGTGTGTTTAGAATAATTAAATCTTATGTTAATTTCCCCCAAGCTGGCATTTCATGGGACTAAAGAAAGAAAGAACATGAGTGACTTTTAAAAAAAAAAATCATTTAACATTTTATATTTGTTAAGTGTCAGAGTTTTGAGATGGAAACCCTTCAAAATGGGTAGAAAATAAATGAAAGAATTGTTTTTATCCATGCATTCTCCATGTTGACAGCATTTAATAAATTTAGGTATGTAATTGGAGTAGCTTTCTCTCTTATTTGATAAAAAGGTTTAAAGGAAAACAAAAAAAAAAAAAAAAAAAAAAATCACTACTTACTGAGCGATTTTAATTGTCCAGTTGAAAAAGCTGTACCAAATTCATTTGTAGCTTGGCACTGGTACATTCCATTGTCCGAAGGTTGTATATTTAGAATGATCAGAACATTGTTGTTAACAATATATTTGCCAGGTCTGTTCTTTAATAATACAGAATTTTTGTACCAATAATATGTGGGTGATGGTTTGCCTGAAGCATCACATCTCCAGGTTAGTTGGGTTCCAATATCAACCAGTTGGTCACGGAGACCAGAGTGGAATTTAGGCTTGGCTAAAAAGGAGAGAAAATTTAAACAGATTATCAAATTGTAAATTTCTGTGATCATTCATCAGTAAAAACACATGACACTTTGAAAAAAAAAAAAAAAAACAGCCCCCAAAAAGACCCCCCAAAAAAAACCCCAAAAACAAAAACCAAAAAAAAAAAAAAAAGAGCTAAAAACCCAAAAACCAAAAAAAAAAAAAAAAAAAAAACCAAAAAAAAAAAAAAAAAAAAAAAAAAAAAAAAAAAAAAAAAGCTAAAAAAAAAAAAAAAAAAAACCAAAAAAAAAAAAAAAAAAAAAAAAAAAAACCAAAAAAACTAAAAAAAAAAAAAAAAAAAACCAAAAAAAAGCTAAAAACCCAAAAAAGCTAAAACCCAAAAAAGCTAAAAAAGCCAAAAACCAAAAAAAAGCTAAAAGCTAAAAAACAAAAAAAAGCCAAAAAAAAACCAAAAAAAGCTAAAAGCCAAAACCAAAAAAAAAAAAAAAAAGCCAAAAAGCCAAAAAAAAAAATGAAAAAAACCAAAAAAAAAAAAAAAAACAAAAAATAAAAACCAAAAAAAAAAAAAGCAAAAAGCCAAAAACCAAAAAAAAAGGGGGATAAAAAAAAATAAAAAAAAAAAAAAAAGCTAAAAAACCAAAAAAAAAAAAAGCTAAAAAAGCCAAAAAACCAAAAAAAAAAAGCTAAAAAAAAAAAAAAAAAAAAAGCTAAAAAAAAAAAAAAAAAAACCAAAAAAAAAAAAAAAAAAAAAAAAAAAAAAAAGCCAAAAAAAAAAAAAAAAAAAAAAAAAAAAAAAAAAAAAAAAAAAAAAAAAAAAAAAAAAAAAAAAAAAAAAAAAAAAAAAAAAAAAAAAAAAAAAAAAAAAAAAAAAAGCCAAAAAAAAAGGAAAAAGCTAAAAAAAAAAACCAAAAAAAAAAAAAAAAAAAAACCAAAAAAAACAAAAAAAAAAAAAAAAAAAAAAAAACCCAAAAAAAAAAAAAAAAAAAAAAAAAAAAAAAAAAAAAAAAAAAAAAAAAAAAAAAAAAAAAAAAAAAAAAAAAAGAGTCAATGTGAGCTGGACACCATACCCTGCCAGCCAAAACATTAACTACAGACATCGCCACATTTACAGCTGGACAGGGAATGATATTGGTGCTGATGTATGGTCCCTTGATTCATTTCCCCTAGGCATTTCTGTGATATATAGCCTAGTTTGTCAAAGTGATAGCAACTTATAGCTATCGCTCTACTCAATGACTCAAAAAATATCTAGCCAAATTGTTAGCATTAGCACATCTGTGACAGACAATATCACTGTGGATCATTGGCAGAAATCAAGTTCTTTCTCAATTAATCAGGCTTCACAGCTGCCACAATCAGTTCCACTACCAGCATTTCATCCTTCTGTATGGCTCTAGCCCACTCTAACAGCTAGTTAACATCCTACATATCCAAACAAAGCAGTCTCCTGATGTGCTTAGGCAACACTGCTACAAATGCATGTGCAAGTCCATGGTCAAACGCCCACCATACAAGGTTGACAGCCTGCAGAGGTGTACCAAGTAGGCATCCACAGATTTGTTTGAATTCAAGCACCTAGCTAGAAAGAAGACATGTACTATGAATGGATCTGTGGCAAAGGTGACATACAGAGCGTCCCTTATATGGTCTACATCTTTTCTTTCTTTTTTACAGAGTTACTGGAATGTGGCAAACGTACCTCGCATCAATTGGAGTGGCAGAATGCCAGAAATGTTTTTCATGTTCACAGATCAGTTCAATCTTTTCAAACTATTCAATGATAGAAAGACTCCAGTCCATCAAATTTGGGGATTAGCCTAAAGTTGAACTTGCCATCTGCCATGAGTGAGGTTGGAGGAAACACCTAACTGATTGCTCTCTAGTAACTACAAGGGTAATAGGGAGTTAATAAAAATAACAGTGCCTCACAAACCACTGCAACTTTATTAACAAAATACTCAAAGGATTGACTTCACAAGACACCGTGTCTTACCAACTGTTGGTTTTCTCATTGCTTTTATTGGCATGGGGCATCTTACAAAGACCTAGATCTTAACCAGTTGCAGAGAGGCTCATATCTAGACATGTCAAGCTGTCCCACTGCTAACAGGGAAAACTCAGATGTAACTGGTGTTGTCCACACACAATGCAGGGCATCTTTTGTGTCTGTATAGATGTGAAGTCACCACAGGAGATCAGCATCACATGTGCTGATGAAAGGCAGAAAGAGGTCTCTCAGACGATTAATGGAGAGCAGATTTATTTTGGAAGTGTTAAACTTAAAAGCCATTCTTTGGCCTTGTTACCAACAGACTGAAGGTCATTTCTGAGATCATCTGCCAAATCAAGGTATTTATTGTAGAGTTTAGAAATTCAGACAGGAAGTTGTGGAGAGCCATCAAAGCCCACATTCTGAAGAATTATACATAATCAATATGTATCATTTTGTATTACCAGTCAATACATGAGGCAGACAGAGTGAAATGATTTATGTTTAAGAGCTTAAAAAGATTAAGAAATAATAAAATAAACTTACCTTGAATGCTAAGGCTGAAGTCCTTTGAATCAAGCCCCTTACTTGAACTGCTAACATGACATGTATATACACCACTGTCTGCTAATTGTACATTTTTTATTTGAAGAACCCTATTGAAATCTACAAAAGTTGCAGTGTACGGCATAGGCTTATCTTTTCGAGTCCATATGTAGTTAAGTTGAGCCCTGGTAGACAAGAGAAAATATATTTATAACAATAAGAAAAAAGCAGGAGCAAAAAAAAAAAAAAAAAGCCTTAATTATATACAACTATTTAGTTTTTCATTTCTGAGATGAGTAATTGTCAATATTATCTTTGAGTGTTGTTCTCAGCTTGGTTAATATAGATGTCATATAGACATGTTTTGACCAAGTAGACTCTGGTCATCATCAGGTGTCCATAGATTGCCTGATATCGGATATATCTTGATTATTGTGATATCAGTTTTAGATCATTCCTGTTGAGTTGGAGAAGGAAATTACTGGAAAGTAATTGAAACTCATCTGAAGCGTGCTGAATGTGTAATATTTCTCATGCCAATGACACTTCCACTGAGCTTCTCCATGGCATATGACTTCACTGAATTTCTTTTGATGTGTTCCTCTCGAATTTATATTTAAACTGGGGTCATCAGGAGAGAATGTACACCGTTTCAGGGCCTTCCTCTCAATGATTTCAGTTGCACACTGGCCCCCTCACTGATGTGAGGCCCCATTATAATGATATACAAGTGTGTTGTAGATAAAACGGCGAAATTAGATTAAAATCATGAACATAAAATAACAATTACAGTGTAACCCGGTATAAGAGAGTTGTCGGGACTGGAGAAGTCTCTTATATCCGGGTTTAGTCTATTTTATATACATTAACACAGGCTCTAATTTGGGACCAGAGAAAATCTCTCTTATATCCGGGTTTAGTCTATTTTATATACATTAACACAGGCTCTAATTTGGGACCAGAGAAAATCTCTTATATCCGGGTTTAGTCTATTTTATATACATTAACACAGGCTCTAATTTGGGACCAGAGAAAATCTCTTATATCCGGGTTTAGTCTATTTTATATACATTAACACAGGCTCTAATTTGGGACCAGAGAAAATCTCTCTTATATCCGGGTTTAGTCTATTTTATATACATTAACACAGGCTCTAATTTGGGACCAGAGAAAATCTCTCTTATATCCGGGTTTAGTCTATTTTATATACATTAACACAGGCTCTAATTTGGGACAGAAAATCTCTCTTATATCCGGGTTTAGTCTATTTTATATACATTAACACAGGCTCTAATTTGGGACCAGAGAAAATCTCTTATATCCGGGTTTCTCTTATATCCGGGTTACACTGTATTATAAATATAAGAATAATAAAAAAGAAAAAAAGAAGGAAATTGCTGCAATTACTTTCCAGTAATTTCCTCCTCCTTTTTTTCTTTTTTATTAAACTAAATTAAGTTAAACTAAGTTTCACTAGCTGGTCCAAAGATTGAACTTATGACAGTAAGACATCTATAATCAACTCCTCTATCCACTATGAGCCTCAAATATGCACCTGACCACAAGTGGAATTTGTACATATGATCCATGGTCAACTCCCTGTCCCACTCCAGTAAGTAGCCAACTCCTACTATCCTCTACCTTTTCACAAGAGCATGATCAGGCCAAAAATCAAGTACTGTTATATTTGGGTAGCAGCTGCCCAGATGTCACTCTTCAAAGTGTCTCCGAGCCCTTGTGTGTGATGAATTATTCGCTTTCACAGGAGAGTCTCTTGCTACTTCCATGGAAAATGCACAGATGAACTACATTCTCTGGTCCTGCCAGATCAAACCTTCACAGCAAGGACATGCCATGCCACTTACATCGTAGCAAAACACCCACATTCCATCTGTATTCCATCAGTGAGAAGTTCCACTCGTACAGCTTCTTCCTGCAAAACAAAGCTCTGTGAAACTGAATCTAAAGATTACTACAAACTTAACCTGTTCAAGGCTATGGATAACAATTATCTTCCCTTGTATAGAGTGAACCTTACTGTATAAAAAATAAAAAATTTTTTTTTTGTGATTTTGTAGCTTTTTGAGATGTTTTTTTTTTTTTTGTCAGAATGGTGGGTTCATACTGCTTTTATAATTTAGTATTTCATTTCTTTTCACTTATTTTAAATGATTTTTCTCATTTTTGCTTGATATAGATATTATTATAGACACAATATTGACAATTACTCATCTAGGAAATGAAATAGTAAATTAGACTTGTGTATAAGCTGACTAAAATTAAAAAAAGGATTTTTTTGCTAGTGTTGAGTTATTCAGATTTATTTGTGTATACGCCAACTTCATGTACAGTAGTGTGACCCCTGAACTTTTTACATGAATTTTAACCCTTCTAGAAAAAAAAATAATTTTGTACATATTGCAACTGGTCACCAAAATGCAGGATTTAAAAAAAAAACTCATAAAAAGTTGAACTATTTGAATGTATAGGGTAATTTTTATTTAAATGTGTTTCTGTTATAATTGACTCGATTGGAGGAAAAAAAAAAAAAAAAAAAAAAAAAAAAAAGAAAAAAAAGGAAAAAAAAGAAGGAAAAAAGAAGAAAAAAAAGAAAAAAAAAAAAAAGAAGGAAAAAAAGGAAAAAAAGGAAAAAAGAAAAGAAGGAAAAAAGAAAAAAAGAAGGAAAAAAAAAAAAGAAAAAAAAAAAAAAAGAAGGAAAAAGAAGGAAAAAGAAAAAAAAAAGGAAAAAAAAAGGAAAAAAAAAAAAAAGAAGGAAAAAAAGAAAAATTTTTTTTTTCTATAACAGCATTTTAACACATTGCTAGCTCCCAACAAAGTTGATTCATAAAAGTTTGTCTCCTTTTCAGGAGATTTCTACTCACGTTCCATATGCAAAACATTCAATACTGATTGTCTGTCCTTCCAAAGGTTGTCCAGGAAAGACTGCAGGAAATTCATTTTGGATATTTGGAGCAATATTTCCAACACCTCAACAGAGAGAAAAAAATAGTGAAATAAAATCTGCTTATTGGTCGAAACATACAATATAAAATCAAAAGTTTTACTATTTTTACCCATATCTAGGAGGGGGAAATGGATTCATGCCTTTCCTAAAAGGCATTTGTGCATAAGTGAATGTAATTAACCAGACTGAAATTCAAACACGGATCTCCAGTGTCCCTTTATCAAAAATGACATACATTATTCTGCTTTCACAATTGAATACATGGTAGATGATACTCAGCTTTTGTGCATATACATGTTTGTGTGGACATAATTACTAGAGGTGCTTATATGCAGAGCTGGCATGTCTTACCCTGAAATCTTGATCAGTGCCATCCTGGGTATGACAATAAACTACATCCGCATCCTGGGTAAGATGATGAACTACGTCCAACATCAAGGCCTCTGATCAGGAGGTTTTGAGGAGCGTGAAACCACCTCCTAATTGCTGGTGTTCCCAGGTTCACCCTGACCCAGGGTGGTAGCACCTGTTAGGGTCCCAGCTATGGGTAAATAGTTAACACCCAAACTTGTGTAAAAATAGGTTTTAATACCAGAAATACTAATAAAAAAAAATACTAGTAATACAAAGAACTATACAATCTTTGAAAAAAAAAAAAAAAAAAAAAAAAAAAAAAAAAAAAAAAGGAACTCAAACAAAAATGGTAAAAAGCATTAGGAAATTGGGTTTTAATACCAGAAATACTTTGTAAAAAATTATTACCAAAAATAAACTTTTCAAGAAAGAACTATTACTAGCAATATATTTTTGAAAAAGATATTACCAGCAATACGTTTTTGAAAATAAAATATAATAATTAAAACATTAGTTAAAATATAACTTGAATTTGGTCAGATGGGTCATCATTATTTTGTTACACAAAAAATTTTTTTGATTAAACAGAAATTGCTTACAATGTACTACATATTACTCATAATACATTCTTTCTTGTCAGTTTTGATAGCATAGGTAGACTAGTTTCTTTATAAAATATTAAATAAGGAATCTTTATAAAAAGATAAATACAGTGTAACCCGGATATAAGAGACCCGGATATAAGAGAGATTTTCTCTGGTCCCAAATTAGAGCCTGTGTTAATGTATATAAATTAGACCAAACCCGGATGTAAAAGACTTCTCCGGTCCCGACAACTCTCTTATATCCGGGTTACACTGTATTAAATATCACATTGTATTTGGTTCAAAAATTATTATAATCTTGTAAATCAACATTACTGAGAGTTAAAAGTGTATACACAGTAACAAAAGTGTCAAGGGAATCAAAGTGGTCTATAAAAATTTTATATTTTATTAATGTGAAACTAAGTCTTTATTTAAATAAAAAAAAAAGTGCTTAATCAACTAGGTTATTTTTTTTTTTTTTACATATTCTTTTGGGTAAAAGTGTATTTTTAAGAAAGCCATACATTTGTGAAAAAAAAAAAAAATTACCATTGTGTAAATCTTTTAGATTTAGTGGTTAAAGAAAAAAAAATTATTTTGTGACTTGTGGAAAAATATGGTTTTTCTATTTACTGAACAACCAGAGATGTGGTCTCATGCCCTTGTAAATTTGGGGTATGAAGTTGTAAGGACATTATTATTAATAAATAAAAATATAAAATAATAATATAAAATAATAAATATAAATAAAATAAACACAATTAAAATTTTATTTGAAATAAAATAAATAAGACCAAAATAATAAAATTTATCCACGCATCCAACAGAAAACTTTTCCTGTCTGAAAATGGACTTCAAGTCAAAAAACACTGAACTCATTCTCTTCACTAAAAGGTTAAGACATCCATCTTGGCACCTTGCTTATTGTAAAAAAAAATTGATTTTCTTCCTCTATCAAATACAACCTTAAAACATATGTAACTAAAATATATATGAAAACACATACACACACACAAAAATAAAATGATTTTAATTTTCAGTTTAACATGCTTTTAGTATTATTTCCTTGTATGTTTTTATTCCTGTGAACATGAGGCTATCCATGCTGGTAAGATGCAAGTGACCCCTCAAAGTCTCTGGAAGCCTCTATTTCCTAATAAGTGGACTCCGGGATATAGAGAAGGACGGGTATCAGGATCAAGGTATCAGATGATGTTGATTGATATTACATTTGAATATTTGAAGATTATAGCTATCAAGGAAGCCAGTAAGAGGAAGGGAGTTCCACTGTCAGGAAGTGCAAGAGAAGCTGTTGGAGTAGAAGAGGCACCAGATAATTTCAGAAAGCATTTAATCATCAAGGTAGAAGAATTCAAACTTCAAGACAGCCAGCTGCAGGGAGCGAAAAAATTTTTGATGTTTATATGTGAAAATCACTGCCGTGAAGCAATAAAAAGAAAACAAAGAAATTTGAAAATATTGTTAAGGCCCCAGTGAAACACGTGGGTAACCAAACAGAAGGAAAATCAAAAGACATTTCTAAATATCATGTCCCAAAGACACTCCTAGGATAATTCTTAGAAGGTGAGTGAACTCTATATATATATATATATATATATATATATATATATATATTTAAATATAATTATAAATATGATTTAAAAATATGTTTTTCCGCTACACAGTTCTAACCACGTTTCAAAAATGGAAGGTCCAAATTTAATTTTGTAATTAAATTAAAGACATTAGTTCCATTTCATCCTCAAGCGGATTTTGGAGTAACTTTTAAAATTACTGGGTTTTAAAGACACAGCTAAAATCATAATTCACGTTTCCAAGGTTACAGATAAATTCACTTCCACTAGACAGGGGTGTTTGTGTGTTTATTATGTCTGTATTTTGAGGTATCCATTAATATTAATGCTCTGTAAATTTACATTGAGCACTATTTGGTAAAAATAAAAATATCTATACGAACACGGATTATATATCTTACTGTTCTTTCTTTATATATATATATATATATATATATATATATATATATATATATATATATATATATACACACACACACTATTTACATTATTCGGTCTATTGTCCATCTTTGTTGCCATATTTATTACAATGTTTCGGCCATTGTATGCTCCAGCCTTCTTCAGGTGGTTGGAATGTCAAACTGAACCTTTTATTTTACTCACTGGTGTAGATTGTTCTAGTTCCACATGCCATCTCTAATGGATGTCAGTTATCTCCTGTTAATTCCCCTCTCCAAGTTCTCCACTGCCTTAAGCAGGTATTGAACTTGTACTCTTTAGCTCCTGTCATTGGATCTAACCAACGTCTTTATCCACTGTGCCATGTGTCCTTGAGGGCATCCATTAGACATGGAACTTGAACAGTCTACCCTAGTGAGTGAAATAAAGGGTTCAGTTCGACATTCCAACCACCTGAAGAAGGCCGGAGCGTACAATGGCCGAAACGATGTAATAAACATGGTGACAAAGATGATGACAATAGTCCGAATAATGTAAATAGTGTACATAATACCTCTTCTCAGAAATGTAGACAGATATATATTTTAAGCATTTCACCCAAAGCAAGGAGTTATAGAGAGTGGGAGTAAAAGTACAGAGATGTATTTGAGGAAAGGATATAGGGAAGGATGGGTATCAGGATCAAGGTATCAGATGATGTCGATTGATATTACATTTGAATATTTGAAGATTATAGCTATCAGGGAAGCAAGTAAGAGGAAGGGAGTTCCACTGTCAGGAAGTGCAAGAGAAGCTGTTGGAGTAGAAGAGGCACTTACATTTAACCGTTGTGATAGTGAAAGGGTGGGACCGAGATGACAACCTAGTAGTACGTTTAAATTCATGCAGTTGGGATATCAATGAAAGTAGTTCATCAGAGCAGTTGTCATGAATATATTTGTTGAAAAGACAGAGGGAAGCCACATCACATCTGTGAGAAAGTGACTGTAGACAAGATGCCCGGTCAGGACCTATCACATTGCATATTTGTCTTTGGATTTTGTTGAGAACCTCAGGATGAACAGCAGGGGCACCAGACCATATTTGGCAACAGTATTCAATGTAAGAATGAATAGTAAATGTTAATCCTTGAAAACCTCACACAGTGGTTATGTTATTTGTACCTTTTCAGTTTACTTTGAGGATAAAAGAGACACGAGGTTTCTTTATCCATTCTATCCCTACTAACTAAATTTCTATGTCCAACACAAGATTTAGGTTTCCCAAGGGAGTTAAAATATTTATATGACTTCAAGACAAGAACAAGAATATGGTGGATTGAGACCAAGAAATGATTTATCTTATCGGCTAAGAAGAAATCCCAGGATGCATCTGTACAACTTGCCTATAAATTTGGGGAGGGAGATGCTTTTGCAGTCATTCCTATCAAGATTGGAAACTATTAAGGTTCAAATGGTTGTAAGCCCTGTAAGTGGCTCATGATTATAAAACAAATCAAGTTCTTACCTCCTGTCTCAACGGCAAGTGTAAGTCCCAGGCTTGTACGGCTAGGCATTTGAGCAGAGCTAAACACTTGACTGTTTTCATCACTGACCAATGAAATTACACAGTAGTAGTCCCCTGCATCACTGTTACTGACTTCAGAAAAATACAGTCTTCCATTCTTGGAGATGAAGATATAATTCAGGAGATTAGTCCGGATAAAATTATTTGGAGTATTCTTGTACCATTGGAATTGAATTGCTGAGAAGATAGATAAATTAAAAAAAAGATAGATAAATTAAAAAAAAGATAGATAAATTAAAAAAAAGATAGATAAATTAAAAAAAGATAGATAAATTAAAAAAAGATAGATAAATTAAAAAAAGATAGATAAATTAAAAAAAATAGATAAATTAAAAAAGATAGATAAATTAAAAAAAGATAAATTAAAAAAAAGATAAATTAAAAAAAAGATAGATAAAAAAAAAAAATAAAAAAAAGATAAATAAAAAAAAAGATAAATAAAAAAAAAGATAAATAAAAAAAAAGATAAATAAAAAAAAAAGATAAATAAAAAAAAAAGAAATAAAAAAAAAAGATAAATAAAAAAAATATAGATAAATTAAAAAAAAAGATAGATAAATTAAAAAAAAGATAAATAAAAAAAAAAAGATAAATAAAAAAAGATAAATAAAAAAAAAGATAAATAAAAAAAAAAAGATAAATAAAAAAAAAAAAAGATAAATAAAAAAAAAAAGAAAGATAAATAAAAAAATAAAGATAAATAAATAAAAAAAATAAAGATAAATAAAAAAAAAAGGAAAAAAAATAAAGACTAATAAAGTTATTTTATTTTCAATTTTAGTAGCTTCTTATCTAGTCATATTAATAGAAATAATATCTTGAATTTTATTAATATTTCCTTTATCTACATTTCACAAAAGATTCTTAAAAGAAAAATTTAAAAAAAAAGACTGAAGAATAAGATACAAAATTTGATTATCTCCCTTTGATCAAGATGAAGTCATGTGGGTCATGTGACTACTGCTTATTGACGTCACTTCATACATTGATAAAAGTGCCAGTCAGCTTCCAGGAGTCAAACCATGCAATTTCTTTTTTTAGCCTAGGCCCCTCTGCCTAAGCTGAGGCTAAATCTGCCTCCCCAGGCATGTTGCTCAGCTTACAAGCCTATGGCACCATTTTCCTATGGGAATATATCTTCACCAGATATAGAAAATGTCTTAAGCTTGCAATCCTCATGTTAGAAAAAAAACCCCAGGACTCAGAGTTTCCCCGCTTACAGAATATGTCCTTGCTAATGACATAGCAGATGAATCTGGCTTGCTCTAATGTAAAATCCAAAATGTGACTTTTCCAGAAACACAGAAGAATCTCCAACAGATCCAATTCCCATTAAAAATTATTACATGTAGGTTACTTTTTTGTCCCCTTTTCACTGTGTTGTGTAGGTATGTGTTATATTTTCTCTGCATGGGACACATGTAAATATGTATATATAATTTTGTGCATAACTTAGTGGTATAAAACTCTCTGATAACCAACATGTTTGTCAGTCCTTTTCCTTTCAGATATTCTCTTCCATATGTGAAATAAGGTGTTATATCATTGATATAATGCCTACAATGGGGAAAATGTAAACTGGGAGTTTAATTTCTTCCATATGTTACCCATTAGGTGCAAAAAGAGACACCCGGGTTCAAGTCTTTGTTTTAGAAAAAGAAATAATTCTAATGAGCCAATAAATAAAAATATAGAACAAAAACAAGAGTAATAAAATTGATAAGAAATTATCGAAAATTTTTTTAAATGATTACTCTGGAAAAGTCATCTGGAAATAACCCAGTTGAGAATTTTTAGGGATTATAAAATTTAGCTTGTAAATTTCACTTTTTTGACTACATATGAATACAGCAATAGTTTAGGAAAGGGTTATTTTCAAAATCTTTGGTTATTATTAAAAGAGACAACAATAATAACATTTTGAAACTTACCGGGTTTATAGGATGGGGGTTGACATTTGAGATTTGTCCCCTCGTATAATTTGGCTCGTATACCTTCTGGTTTTATATTGTTGAATTTCCCAAGTTCTGATTTTCAATAAAAAAAAAAAAAAAAAAAAAAAAAAAAAAATTAAACATTAAATCAAATGTGATAAATTTAAAATATTGAAGAAAGAAAGTATTAGGTTAACCAAAATTCTGATCTTTATTCTCATTGGAGTGTCTAATTTTAACGAATGTCATTTTATCAATTCTGATAATGACCATTGTAATATCAGCAAATGTCAAAACTGGTAGGATTTTTTTGCTAACCGATTCTGATACTGAAAAATGGGAGAAAGCAAGCAATATTATTATCATATTATGCTTTTGTCTATTTTAAGAAAGATAAAAATGCAACTCAAATGCAAAAAATATTTTTGAAGAAAGTACTATGAATGATCAGATGTGACCAAACTACACTAGTTACATTCTTTGTTTTCATCGCCATATTTATTACAATGTTTTGGCCATTGTACACTCCAGCCTTCTTCAGGTGGTTGGAATGTTGAACTGAATCCTTTGTTTTGCTCACTGGGGTAGACTGTTCTAGTTCCACGTGCCATGTTTAATGGATGTCAGTTATCAGTTATCTCCTGTTAATTCCCCTCTGAAAGTTCTCCACTGCCTTAACCAGGTATTGAACTCACACTCTTTGGGTCCTGTCACTGGATCTAACTAATGCCTTTATCCACTGTGCCATGTGTTCTTGAGAAATATAGACAGTGTCCAAAGTAGTTTACCAATTCTTGTGCCAAAGATTTCTCACTGACCAATAACCTAAAGATCAAGTCAGCTAGTTGAAGCTCATACCGTATACAAGAGAGGTAAATGTCGCATAGCATGGGAGGTAAATGTTGCATAGCATGGGAGGTAAGCATCATACTCAAAATATACAAATCAAGCATCAAAAATCATTTGTATATTTGCATATTGGTATGTTAATTGCTTTGATGTACATGAATCTGTTGGGTTATTTCCTCCTAATTTTCCAAACAGTTACTAGGGGACGCTCTCCAACACTATAAATACTCTGTAATAAAATTTCATCTCTCTCTTCTTACTTTTTTGCTTATACAACAACAATGTAAATTCTCTCGCAGAAGATTGTGTTTTTCCCATCATGGGAAACACATGAACAATACATATACGTACACACATTCATTCACTTCACATACTTTGGACCAAAAGCTTTCCACATTTATTTGTTATACACATTGTCACTTGTAACCATTTCTGTTGTTAATACATATTAATTTGTTTGTACATATATATCTGTCCTTGATGTTTCTTCATACTTTTTTGGTGGACTCATACTCCAAGTCTGCCATGTTTGTTGTGGGCATTTTAGGAGAGAGATATGTTCATCTCATAACGTGTACATAAACTGGCCCACAACAAATCCATATAATGACAACATAAAAAAAAATCTCTTCTCTAAAAGGTTTGGTTTGTTTTACAGCATATCAACCTCAACGGGTTATTTAATGCCGACAAAATTTTTATTGCTGGTAATACGTTTTTCTCCAAAAATCTATTTCTGGGAATATTTTTCCTTGAAGAAATCTATAGCTGGTCATATTTTTTTTTCAAAGAATGTATAACTGTTTGTATTGCTGGTATTTTTTTTTTTTTTTTAAGTATTGCTGATAATAATTTTTCCTTCAAAAATTATTGCTGGTAATAATTTTTTTTTTTTTTATTACGGAGTATTTCAGGTATTAAAACCTATTTTTACACAAGTTTGAGTGTTAACTATTTGCCCATAGCTGGGACCCTAACAGTTGCTGTCACCCCAGGTCAGGGTGGACCTGGAAATACCAGCAATTAAGAGATTGTTCCACACTCCTCAAAACCTCCTGATCAGAGGCCTTGCTGCTGGATGTAGATTATCATCTTACCCAGGACATGGGTATATAAACACAAACATTAGTTATAATTATGTATATTTATATTTATTAAGGGAAATGCTGAATATGTAAGAACACTATATTTATAAAATTTCTGACATCCAATATGTCTGAAATTTTAAATTCGGACTGTATTATTTTCTAGGTTAGCCATGAAGAAGTTGCTAAATGTTGGTCTCAGGATGAAACACATGGAAACACCATCACATTATAGGTACAGTGTAACCCGGATATAAGAGAGTTGTTGGGACCGGAGAAGAAGTCTCTTATATCCGGGTTTCTCTTATATCCGGGTTTGGTCTATTTTGTTTTGGTAAGTATGGGAACACTTTGGGACCAGAGAAAATCTCTCTTATATCCGGGTTTCTCTTATATCCGGGTCTCACTGTATATGTTATTATGATGGTCATCGAAAGAACTTCTGTGGTGCATATCAAGATTAGTTTTCATTATAAATCAACTAATTACACCAAACATACACAATAAATACAGCATTAAATCAAGACACTGCTCCAAATTCTGAAAATATGAAAACCTAATAACGAAACCATAGCCGCACTTGATGTTGAAAGTTTATTCACTCATGTCCCAGTTAGGCAAATGGTTGATATAATCATAAAGAATATCTAAAACAATCCATCTCTTCCACCATTAAAAATTTATCCTAATATTTTACGAAAGATCAACATCGTATACCAATTTAATGTCCTTTGAGAGACTGCATCTCTGACAAAAGTGTTAATAGTACGTATGTTGGTTTTACTACAATGACCATGATGAGAAGGCTTATGTTTCACTTAAATGATCAAAATTTTATGTAAGAAGTTGAACAAGCATATAACTAGCAAGCATTATGTTAAATTACCATCCCCATTTCTTTTGCTTTTACTTCTTAGGAAGTTTGAATGTCAGATTTTGATACATCTTATGAAATAATGTAACCTATATCTGCCCATAAGGAAAATGTCTAGGATTTATATGCAGACAACTTTGTGTCATGACAGATATTAAAGATTTTTTACGGTGAATTTGAATTTAGCATAGGTCACATTCAATTGGTTAATCATGGCAAAACCCACAAGTTTTTTTTTTCTTTTTTTAAGTGTTCTGCTTTTTGAAATTAAATTAATCTTGCACTTGCCAGCAGTTTAACATCAACTGAAGAGACATATTTATGGTGTTGAAACATAACTGTAATTGTGCAGCGATTTTTAACATGTTTTAATATTCTAAAATAAAGAATTATATATATATATATATATATATATATATATAAAAAAATGATTCCATCGCTACATAAGTGTTGCCATATTTCAAAAATAGAAGCTAAAAAACCAGCTCTATTTCATCCAACATTGATAACTCTTATGTAGTGATGGAATCATATTTTTAAAACATAATTATAATTTAGGCTCTATTTATCTATTGAGCACTGTTTTTTTAAAAATAAAAATACTAAAGCCCTTTGGATTATTAACCTAATTGTTCTTTCCTATTTTTTCTATATATTTGCACGCACATACACACACATTATATATATATATAAGGCTCAAACACTGATATAGCCGAACATGCTTTTATTGATTTCACCACAGAGGAGTGTTCGGTTAGCAAGGTCAATTTTAATGTTTTTAAACTACAATCTTACATGATTTTCTCACGAAATCAGTAAAAGCATGTCAGGCTATATGACGTTTCCGTATAGGATACAGGTTCGATTCCTGTTGGAGGATGCATATTTTCTATGATAATTTCTCAGACATTCAGGCCGGTAAATGTTAATACCGTTTATTATAAACAGAGCATTTACTTAAGTATTTGTATCTATAAAAAAAGAATGTATAAACATAAAAAAATGTCTTAAAATAATTGTCGGACTTTGTCCATTTCATAATATATATATATATATATATATATATATATATATATATATATATATATATTACCTCCAAATGAGAAGAGAACATTTTCACTCCTGATAGTTCCAAATTCATTTTTGGCAAAGCAGGTATAATAACCTGCATCTTCACTCTCTTCTGGTCTGGAAATTGTTAACCTGCCATTGGTCAGTGTATACCTGGAACTTTGTGAAGAGCTTATGACAACATTGTTTTTTCGCCATTCATAAGTTGGTTGTGGATTACCAAATGCTGTGCACTGCATGTAAGAGATGAGAGGTGACCCAATGACAATAGCGTTTTGTGGTTCTTGGATAATTTTAGGTCCCCGCTTTATATTGTTCAAATCCCTTAGAGGTTTGCCGTAATCTAAAAATGGATTAAAAAGTGTCTTTTAAAGTTCATACAAAGTAAGACGTTTGTATTATAATGCATCACACAGACAGTTGGTCAGGCCAACACACAAATTACTCAATCATGATATTCTAACAGTAGTGACAGGGGCAATGAGTGTATAGCCTGACACCAATATCAGTTGAATTTTTTATATGAAATTTTCATTTGTTCAATCAGTGGCTATATTAATACAGAAGTGTTGAACTATGTACATTAAAAATATTATTTTAATCATTTCAACCAAAGCAAGGCAATAAAGCCACTAAAATGTAAGAAGTTATGGAAAGTGAAAGGATCAGAGAAAAAACATTGACAATAAAAAGAAAGGATTCAAGGAAACAGAATATAATGGCTGATGTATTTAAATTTGTAAAGATCTATATTAACTTGGTCTTTCTTTTAAAAAATCATTTCACTACAAGCAAAGCAATAAAACCATTAAGTTGCAAGGGGTTAATTTCATGAATTTTCATTAATATTAAATAATTTATTTCTTTTTCCTTAAAATCAAATCCGTTATATTTCACTCACCATAAGCTTATTTTGTTTACTATAAAACATTGAAAATAAATGTTAAACCTAATTTCAGTTCTTTTATTTTAATCTAAATATAACCCCTCATATTCAGAAGGCCTTAGTCTGGTTGTCAGTGATTCTACTGAATTAAGGAGAGAGAACAATTAAAAGAACAAGAATTAAGACAGTACATAATGATTGACACTGCATTTAAATTTTTGAAGATCAAAGTTGACTAGGAAACAAGAAGCCAGAAGTGAGTTCACTGATTCATGTTGACATCTATCTCAAACTTATCCCTAGAAATGTTCTTTCCATTAATCTTTGTATGTTTTTGAATTTGTTTCTCACACACACACACACACGTTAAGTATGACAATTTTCTTAAATTTATGCATACTAGAAATGCGTATGCAAAATTCAAGTGTCATGCAAACTGCACAATATTGCAAATGGTAATATTAGTTGTTTCCCTATAAAAGAAACATTTAGCATTCATTGACTGAGCAGCCAGTGCCATTGTCTGTTGAAATTTATAAAATCTTCCAGTTAAAAGAAAATCTTTTTAAGAAAATAGACTTCAAGTCCAGTAACTATCCTTGCTCTTTCTAGTATTTAGGTGAAGCTGTGTGGGATGTCTACATTTTGAATATGTCATTATTTTCTGGAGTTACATGTGCTCTCCATTTTAATGGTTTCTGTTGTTGAATATTTGAAAATGATGTGGTTTCTGTTATGTGGCACAATTCTTTCTTTGTGATTCTGTAGTGCTAGTCTAGAAGGTTAGAAGGATGGTCCTCGCCAGGTTTCATTTGCTCAAAGTCACTGTAACTATTGATCCAACTCTTTAGATATTTCTGAATGGGTTTGGTGTCCGGCATGACATCCATATAAAAGTCTTGATGAGGATATTTACAAACATGACTCAAGTTTTTAGGTTATGGTTTTGTATCAACATGTTTTCTGCAATACTATGCCTATGGCAATCTAATCTATGTTTAGTTTTCTTATGAATACCCCTAAAAAAAGCCAAATAATCCAGAAACAAACCAAAGCAAGATATCTGACCTAACAATGCTAGAAAGATTTTCTAATTCATATGTAGGGATACAAAAGGCAATTATCTCCCTTTGGTGGAGATGAAGTCATGTGGTTCACATGACAGCCACTTACTGACTTCACTTCAAAGATTGACAAAAGTGGTCAGTCCTTTAGTCAGTTTCCAGAAGTTAAATTCAATAGTTGCCTCACTTGGTGCAACCAGCTATCACATGGTGCAGCTTACAAGCCCATGGCACTGTTTCCCTATGGAAGCATATCTTTACCAGAAATAGAAACTATCTCCAGCTTGCAGACCTCAATTTGGGGGAAACCCATGTTTTGTTTGAGGCAAATATGTCCTCATTAGTGACATAGCAGGTAAATCCGGCCCACTGAGATCTGGAGTCCTAAATATGGCTTCTCCAAAAACACAGAAGAATCTCCAGTAGAACCAATTCTCATTGGGAATTATTACAAGTAAGACTATCTATTCATTCCCTTTTCACACTGCTTGTGTAGATATGTGTTATAATTTATCTGCATGGGACCTTAGTTCTAAGAACAAAGCATGTTTGTCATTGCTTTCCTTTCAGCTGTTATGTTTCATCTGTGAAATAATGTTACTACATATTTTCAATTAATATTCACTTTCTTCCATATCTTACCTATTATCTTGTGACATTCCTGACATTATTTAACCTCCATTATATATAACTGAATAATGAGTATAGCATGAAGAAAACCTAATATGTAAATCATTACAACAGGTTCTAATTATATATATATATATATATATATATATATATATATATATATATATATATATATATATATATATGAGAGAGAGATAAGGGGGTTGCATCATACAAGAGAGATAAAATTAGCATATGTACTACTGGCCCTGACAATGCTGTTGACCAAACTGTATATTTATTTACTGTAGTCAAATTAGCTTCAAAATTAGGTCTTCAAAAGTTGCATGATATATAAATATATATATATATATATATATATATATATATATATTATATAAGACTCTAGGTCATCAATGGTTGTCAGGCTCATTACAATCTTTAATATACTATTGGTATAACTTAGATGCTAAAATGATTCCTCTACACTAACTAAAATATATAATTTTAAAAAAAATAATGTCTGTACCTATCTCCAGTGTGTGTTTGTATATATGTCTATGCATTAGAGTGTTTATGTATCTGTTTTAATTTTTTGTTTAACTGTGCATTTATGATCAGTACTGCTGACTGATACCATATTTCTTCAACACTACCTCAGTCACACTCCTCACTTGCAACCCTTCAGTCAACAAGTTAAAGCTGCCACTTTCTTTGGTTTTCAAAAAAATTAAGATAGGCTAAATTTAATTTGCCCTTTTTCAAATGATACATTGTGCTACCAAACCGTATATGTTATGGAATAAATTTAAAATGGACATTTGAAAACAATAAGTTGAAATAAAAATGAAAGATAAGGCTCAGATCTATGAAGCCCGATTAGCAACATTATTTTCTTTGTTTTTTTTTCTTTCTTTATATGGACAATATCAAGGAAATGTATTTCTGTCCATATTTTGAGGCATGGAGTGAAAACAATTTTAGATCCAGCTGAGTCAAGAATGAAAATGACACACTACAAAAGATTTTTGTTGCTTTGAAATAGATATGCTCGAAAAAAATTATATATACATATACATATATATATATATAAAAAAAATGGTTCATAGAGGAAGTGGATCAGTACAAGAACTTTTCAACACTAATAGTTTATGTTTCACCTTATTTTTGTTACCTCTCATTACAACACTCATCATTTTAAAAAAAAAAAAAGAAAAAAAAACAGAAAAAAAAAAAAAAAAAAAAAAAAAAAAAAAAAAGAAAAAGTAAAAAAAGAAAAAAAAGAAGAAAAAAAAAAAAAAAAAAAACAGAAAAAAAAAGAAAAAAAAAAAAGAAAAAAAAAAAAAGAAAAAAAAAAGAAAAAGAAAAAAAAAAAAAAAAAAAAAAAAAAAAAGAAGAAACAGAAAAAAAGAAAAAAAAAAAAAAAAAAAAAAAAAAAAAAAAGAGAAAAAAAAAAAAAACAGAAAAAAAAAAAACAAAAAAAAAGAAACAGAAAAAAAAGAAAAACAGAAAAAAAAGAAACAGAAACAGAAAAAGAAAGAAACAAGTAATGAAAAAATTCATCTAATGAAATCAGACAAATTGAAGTGAATAATCATGACAAAATGCAAACAGAGATGGAAATTACAAAAGAGAAGAGTGACAAATTTAAGGGACTCACCAAAATCTCTCTTCATTTGATAGATTCGAAAACTTTCTTTTTCATCAATTTCACAAATAAAACAGCGTTTAATATCAGCAACACTCCTGATGAGACCATAAGTATTATCTAGTAAAAGAAAAAAAGAATGAAAATTTACATCATGAAGACTAATATCTTTTTCATTTCATCATCCATTTTATTCAGTTAGCATATTTTGTCCTGCTGTGGTCACCATTCCCGTTGATCTCACAATTGTCATTCACAGGAGTATAGTGCAATGGCTTGCCAGTTCCTTTTGCACCAGGGATGTCAAGGTTACCCTGTCTCTCCTCTCAGAGATGGATTTGTTTTTGAAGTTACCTTCTTCTAGCTTTTACCTTAAGAGGCAGGACCTTAAAGTAGCAGGGGGTTTGAATTCAGTGTTGTCCTTCTCCTAGACTTGTTGCAACTCAGGGTTATAGCACTGTCCTGCTATTTTCCATAGAGCCGCAGGGGTGAAAAGATGGATTCATACCTTTCCCAAGGGTATTAGTACACAAGTGAATGCAATGAACTCAATTGTAATTTGAATTCAGTGCTTCAATACCCTCACAGATTTAATTATTAAAAATAATGGTGAATGAAATTTGCAATATCCAGAGAAAACTCTGAACTCAGACCAGAGGAGAGCTTGTTTGAAGACTTTGTGGCAGACTGAAACATTTGTCTGTTATCAGTTCTTCCAAAAAGTGTGCCTGGCTCAGCACAAGCCTTCAGCACTATAATCAAGTTATTCATATGGGTAGTCAGTTTAGTTCTAAAACTGTATTCTCAAGTCTTCATATATCAAAATTGATGAGAGTCTAATATATATATATATATATATATATATATAAAAAGAAATATAGTCTTAAGATGTGCTATATTTATGGGATAAAGTGCTTAATATTAGAGAGCAGGTGCAAATATAAAAGTGAACATAGAAGTCAACAGAGGTGACAGTGTTTCATGCTAGATGCATCTAGCATGAAACAGACTGTCACCTCTGTCAACTTCTATGTTCACTTTTATATATATATATATATATATATATATATATATATATGTATGTGTGTGTGTGTTGTTAAATATAACTAACAAGGTACTGTGATTAAGTTTTTTTATTTAATTTTTCTTGTGTTCATATAAGTGTTTTTCTTTTTCGATCATTTAGGATGATTTCATTTTTGCTGTTTAACTGAATGTATGGGTTGTGTTCACTTAGAAATATCAACGAAATACACTACACCAGTTGACCTGAACAAAAAAAAAAAAATATCTATTACAAAAAATTTAAAACAGCTAACCTTATCCTCAAAAATAACAACACGCCTGAAAAATCAAAACTACAAAGAACTAACATTGTGAATTCAAATGCCCCTTAGGAATTGTGTTCCTGATCAAACCAAACTCATAAATAATTACAATCGTCACACTACAACATGCCTATCCAGACAGCTTATGTTACACCTACCTGACCATAGCTTCATTAGAATTCATTTAAACACACACGAACCTACCAGACTTCATCTGAAACACATTAGTAGAAAATACAAGCATAATAACCTCATCTACATGTAAAAAAAAAAAAAAAAAAGATTAAAAATAATGGAAGCCCTAAAAATAATAATAATAATAAAAACCAACATTCAATAATATTAACTATGAACACAGCCACAATGTGCTGACCATGTTTGAAAAAAAAAATCCACATAACTCTAGATACATTCAGTTAAGAAGTACAAATAAAATCATGCTCGACGATGGCTAAAAGTATAGCTGAAAGTGCTTGGAAATGCCGAACATTTGAACAGTTTTTACACACTTTTTCTGGGACACATGATGAGAGAGGAGGGCTTGGAGAATCTGATACTCACAGGGTAATAGAGGGAAGGAGAGACAAGGGAAAACAATGTATGACATAGTGGGCTTAAGCAAGTGGATGATAGAACAGGGACTGGGAGAAGTAAAAAAGGGATAAAACTTATTGAGAGCTACAAGGGATAAGGGGAAGTGGAGAGCCATGATCGCCTACGTCCTGAAGGGACACGGCACATAATAAGAAGAATGATGTTAAGATGAAATTCATTAATGAAGGTACCACAGTTTTTTCTAAACCATTGTTAGAAAAAACTGTAGCACCTTCCTTGATGAACTGGAAAGGATTAGTATAAAAATAAATAGACATAATATGTATATTTTATTCAATAAAATAATAATAGCTGGCCACTAGTATTCAAAACCCACCTATTAGGCCAGTCAGCCAATCCCTATTGCAGATTCTCGCTCAGGCACATTTGTGTTTGTTCAACACCCACAGAGCCAACCTGTGGTTTATACTGCAACTATGCTGAGCAGACCTTAGTTACAATTTTTGGGAGAGAGCGTGTTATCTAGAAGGATCAGGAATCTGAATAAGGCCAGCACACTCAAACCCTAGATCATGCTGAGTAGTGACTTCATGCTAGCCCAGCTATCAATGACCCCCAAGTGTTCAGTCTACCCAATTTCCCTCAAAAGGCTTCGGTCGACCTGTGGTATGGTTTTCAGGCACTTTCCAAAGGTGCCGGACACTGGGATTGCCCCCCTCCTCGACGAATAACATCAGGAAGTCTATTTCTTGACAAATCAACCATGGTGAGATTTGAACCCAGGTCTCATGGTCAGAAAGCAAACATTCTAACCACTTAGCCATGTGCCCATATACATTCAACGAAATACAGTGTAACCCGGATATAAGAGAGTTGTCGGGACCGGAGAAGAAGTCTCTTATATCCGGGTTTGGTCTATTTTGTTTAGGTAAGTATGGGCTCTAATTTGGGACCAGAGAAAATCTCTCTTATATCCGGGTTACACTGTAAATACATATGTATATACACACACAAAGATTTTAATGTTTGTATTATTCAAGATTCTAATAACATGACATGAAACTATAATTAAATAAATATTTATTTATTATATATATATATATATATATATATATATATATATATATATAAAAAAAAAAAGCTTAAACACTAATATTCCATGGTCATAATTTATTCGATTGGAATCGTAAATACGATCCAAATCATCAAACCTACAAATTCAAAAAAAAAAAAAAAAAAAAAGTTATTTATATATTTTGCATATGTATGTATAATTTCCACTAATATATATATATATATATATATATATATATATATATATATATATATACACACATACATACATACACGTGTATATATATATATATATATTTATTAAAAAAAAAAGAAAGAACAGCAAGATACATAATTCAGTCCTTATTGATATTTTTACAAGGAAGTGCTCAATGTAAATTTACAGAGCATAAATATTATAAATTAACTGATTTAAAGCCATATTTTTTAATAATTTATTATTATATATATATATATATATATATATATATATATATATATATCCTCATGGTGTATCAAAATACTAGATTACATTTGACATTTGCATACATTTGAGGCTAGTTCATCTTCAACACGCGTATTAGTTAACTGAGAAGCGTTCCATTTAACAATGGTAGGATAATCATAATGTGAGCAGGTAGATGTTATTTTTACATACAGTCACATGAATGGTAGGACATAAGGTGGTATGGTTGTATCAGATTGTGTTTTCAGACTGAAGACAGCAGAGTCATCCAACTTTTGCTGCTGTTTATTGTCGTGTTGCTGAGACAGGATCCATGGCACCACAAACTATGGATCAAGCTCCACTCATATGCCTGACCATGAAAAATACATTCTACAGGGACCTTCTAGGTTTCAGTACAAAGCAAGTGGCCCTAGCATGTTGCATATCTCATAGTACTGCATAGAGGGTAATTGAGGAGCAGTTCCTGTATCCATACCATTAGCAACGTGTGCAGGGTCTTTCATCCTCTGATCACTTATTATACGAGAACATTTCCTGATGATTTATTGTACAAACTGCTGATCCGTTGCTTGTCTCTTCAGTCTTGTTTATGGATGAGATTAATGTTGACCATGTTCACCATAGTCTATGAATATAGAATACAGCACAGTACGTAATCTGTTCAATGAAACAACATTAAAGATTAACACTCACAAGTCAGACACTCTACTGAATCTGACTATATCACCAATACCACCAGTAGCTTTTCCGTAATTCTTCAGTCTTCGATATCAAAGGCTGGCAGTGAATATTTGGAAAAAAAACATGGTCGCCTTTATACACGTCACATTGAATATTTTGAGCCTTCTGATTGGTTAACCCTTCTATTGGTGAACTTTAAAATGAGTCAGCTCATTTTGGCTGGCTCACTAGTACACCAGGGTACCCAAAAACTCCAACAATAACATTTGGAAGAGATGGAATAACAAATTTACACAACAAACATTTGTGGGCAGATCGGAATCCCCATGGTACAATACAGGCTAGACATCAGCATCAGTTTATGATTAATGTGTGGTCTGAAATTGTAGGTGATTGTCTGGTAGGTTCATATGTTCTCCCAGCACACCTTACAGGGACTTTATTTCAAACACACTTCCAGACTTTATAGAGAATGTACCCACTTCTAATACAAAGATATGTCGTTCATGCATGATGAGGCTCCAGCTCCATTTTAGTTGCATTGTTCGTGATGCGCTGGCTGACATCTATAATGAAAGATGAATAAATAGGGGAGTACAGGTTCCATTGCCTGCATGTTCTCCTGACCTTAATCCTTTGGATTTTTATCTGTGGGGCTACCTAATGCGACTGGTTTATACAGCAGACATTAATAATGTAGAGATGCTTCATGAATAGTCATGGAGACCTGTGAAAACATTTGACACTATGTGGGAGTATTTGTAATACATGTGTGTGTAGAAGCAAGCAGAGATCATTTTGAACATCTATTATGAGTTGTTGTGTACACTGATGGCATTTTCGACATATGTTTACATGGACATTTTATCTTGTTTTGGTGTCAGGAACCTGCTCCCAAAAGTTTGTAAAAGTATTTTTGGTATATATTAAACAATAAAAAATATTAAAATCTTCAGACATACTGGGTTGTATATTAATATTCTTTCATTTTTATTATTATTTCCTTTAGATTCCTCGACTAGTTTCAGCCAACATGGCCATCATCAGGAGAAAAAGATTTCTGCTTGCTGATAGCATTGAACTACAGAAATGTCTTTATGGAGAAAGAACTTTTGTCTGTAGTTTACATTTGTTTTTTTTATTTTTTTTAACATGAATTTTGGTCATATATATAATTAGTATCAAAGGTTAACTGAAAAATTTAAAAAAAAAAAAAAATTTTATAAATATATAAATCTGTTTTTCCAGTTTGACAATATGTTAATTTTCTGACTTTTCTTAATTTCTCTCTCCAAATTTTTTATCTCCTTCCTTAAAAACCCTAAGTCCATCTCTTACATCTTTACTTCTCCCCTTTCTTTTTTTTCTCTCTTTTTATGATTTCTGGTGAGTTGACCTATTAAATAGGTCAATGTCTGATCTTTACCCCACTTTCCCTCTACTAAGTATTGTAATAAAAATAAATTTAAAAGCATTACCATCTCTCCCTTCCCTCTCTAATTTTGACCATATGTGGCAGACATGAGACAGAACCTGGGATGAGCACAACTGTTGACGACTTGCCTTGTCCCTGCCAAAAAAGAGCCGTATTTGCTTAGCATGTAAAGCTACTGCAGTTGAAATGAGGGAGAAAAAAGCACTTACCGCTGTGCTGTAATCAGTCCTCGGCCAGATAACGTAAAAGAATGAGGGGGGGACTTGCATTGCATTTTTATGCAATGCATTATGGGACAAGGATGCAATGAATTATGGGATCACATGAAGATGCAAGGGATTATGGGTATATGGACAAATATAAAAGCAACTACTTTTTTCCAGTGGGGAGAGTTCTTCGAGTGGCGTTCACGGTTGGCGGCTAGAAAAGTCTGTTAGTGCAGTTTTGAGGCAGAACTCAAGAAGGAACGACTTGAGGTTGAAATACCAGCTTGGAGAGCTTGAATTTATTCGCCACACCATGTCTGTTACACTATCTCTCAACCCTCTGTACTACCCCCCCAAAAGTGAAGTTTAAATTCAATTTTTTCATACTTGGAAGTGAGGTCTGATGATCCAGGGAACAAGAGAATCCTTGGGGAAATAAATTATGGAACCTTAACGTTGTCTGGTTTTCTTAAAAATATATATATATATATATATATATATATATATATATTATATAAGAGAAGAAATATAGTCTTAAGATGAGCTATATTTATGGGATAAAGTGCTCAATATCAGAGATAGAGCATGTGTAAATATAAAAGTGAACATAGAAGTCAACACTTAGAGGCGACAGTGTGTTTTATGTTAGATGCAATTGTCAGGGAGCACTCGTGGCCTGACGATTGCATCTAACATGAAACAGACTGTCGCCTTTAAGTGTTGACTTCTATGGTCACTTTTATATATAAAATAAATAAAAGCTTTAAATATTCATTAAGCAACTCATACTTACTTCTAAACTCATAAGCAACATATTGTCCTTTAGTGGTTTGTTCAGCATTAGGGATCCATAAACTGCTAGGGTAGCTAAAGTTCATACCATTACCCATCCATTTGTAATAACCTTTTTCATACAACACTCCACTTGTATACCAAGATTCCCTACAATGGTAAAAATAAAGTTTATTAACATGTCAAGAATTAATTTATTTTATTCAGTCGAGCTTGTTCAGACAGAAGCAATGAGGAGGTCCAAATAATAAAGAAAATTGCTACTTCATTTGGTTCCATGAATGATATCCGTATTAAACCTAATTTTCAAAACTGCTCCTAGAGGACACTCTCAGGACTATAAATAGGCAGTGACATTCTCTGTCATTCTCTTTTTCAATCAGGGATGGCACCAAACTACACACACACAAAACAATTCACTATTTTATGTGTTTTCTTCATTCATGTTCATTATTCAGTAACATGCAACAATATTCTATTGTTTATGTATACCCTTGTTCTGTTAATACATTATCATCTGTTTGTACATATACATTGGTTCTTGCGATTTCTTTACATGGTGTCACATCCCAAATCTGCCATGTTTGTTTTGGGCATTTCAGGAGACACACATGTTTATCTCCTAATGCATACACCGGCCCGCAACAAATATAACTTGATTTTGTTTGGTGGCATATCAATACCTATGTGGGTCATTTAATGCTTAAATCTAAATATGAAAATTCTAACTTTATAATTTTTTTATTATTTTATGATTAAATTCTAATTACTTAGTTAAATTTTTTTTAGTAAATAATCTTACAAAATTAAACAAAGAGTGAAAACTCATTTCTCCTAACAATAAATGAGATTGTCATAGCAAATTGTTTTTTTCTTTAATTTTTTAAATTATTTTGATATGCCTTGTCTTCAGTTTTGCGATGAAAATGTATTGTTGGTCATTTTTTATATAAAAATGTATTGCTGGTATTTTTACTATAAAAATGTATTTTTATACTTCCATATTGTGTTGAATTTTTATTTTGTGCTTCACTGTTTGCCCATAGTTAGGACCGTAACAGGTGCTACCACACTGAGTGAGTAAGGTTGGACCTAGGAACAACAGCAATTAAGAGATCGTTCTAAATACCTCCAATCTCCTAACCAGAGGCCTTGAACATGACTGGAGTTCTTAGGCTAATGTTTGGTTTTGCAGCAACTTGCAATGTCTTGCAAAATTTCCTATGTCCAACTGTATGGCAGAACTTGTCTGACAAGAACAAAACTTAAGAGCTCACAATCACAGTGATAAAGAATCATTCTACTGTCAGTATAACCAGCTTCTATGCAAGTCTTGACCTCTCATCTCATGTAGAGGGGTTAATTCAACAATTGCCTATCAGTGTGTTTTCCTACTTTTCACAAAGTGTTCCCATTCCATCACTGTCTTTTGAACAGGAGTAGAGGTTAATCTTTTATTTCCTGTTTAAGACTGTGTTTCTGGTTCCTTCTAAAGTTTTCTTATTTTTGCCCCAGAATCCCCTTGTGTTTTAGTGGTTATTGCCTTGTTTGGGGTAAAAAAAAAAAAAAAAAATTAGAATTTTGCATGGTTAAGATATATGCAGTTAAGTCAGACTCCTCCATAGAAAATAAACTAAAAACGAAAAACATTGTAAAAATTTAAAAATGAAAAAAAAAAAAAAAAAAAATTGAAAAAACGAAAAACAAACCAACAAAAAATGAAAAGAAACAAAAAATAAAACACAAACTAAAAATGAAAAAAAAAACACAAACTAAAAATTAAAAAAAAAAAAAAATAAAAAAAAAAAACACAAACTAAAAATGAAAAAAAAAACACAAACTAAAAATGAAAAAAAAAACACAAACTAAAAATGAAAAAAAAAACACAAACTAAAAATGAAAAAAAAAAAACAAACTAAAAAATAAAAAAAAAAACAAACAAAAAATGAAAAAAAAAACACAAACTAAAAATGAAAAAAAACACAAACTAAAATGAAAAAAAAACACAAACTAAAAAAATGAAAAAAAAACAAAACTAAAAATGAAAAAAAAACAAACAAACTAAAAAAAAAAAAAAAAAAAAAAAAACACAAACTAAAAATGAAAAAAAACAAACAAAAAATGAAAAAAAAAACACAAACTAAAAAAAAAAAAAAAACTAAAATGAAAAAAAAAAAAAAACTAAAAATGAAAAAAAACACAAAACTAAAAATGAAAAAAAACAAACTAAAAATGAAAAAAAAACAAACTAAAAAAAAAACACAAACTAAAAAAAAAAAAACTAAAAATGAAAAAAAACACAAACTAAAAAAAAAAAAAACACAAACTAAAAATGAAAAAAAAACAAACAAAAATAAAAAAAAAAAAAAAAAAAAAACTAAAAACTAAAAAAAAAAACACAAACTAAAAATGAAAAAAAAACAAAACTAAAAATGAAAAAAAAAAACACAAACTAAAAATGAAAAAAAAAACACAAACTAAAAATGAAAAAAATTACAATTAAATAAATTTTTTTTAAAATTAAAAATGAATAAAATAAGAAAAAAAAAAAATTAAAATAAACAGTAAACATTTGGCCTGTCTCATGTATAAAAATAAAAGTGGTTATATAGAATACCTTTGCATGTCTGTGGAACCAAGTCTTCCTTTAATAAAAGAATTTTCAGCTAATGTGTCAACACTCACAAGCGCAGCTCCAAATGACTGAAATTAAAAAAATAAATAAAGAACATTGGTACTAATGTCTCATTACAGTTAAAGTGGGTAGATGTAACTATAAGTTCTATGCTAACAATTTCTTTTATCATACTTTTCACTTGTGGAACTTGCTTCTTGTTTCCTTGTTAACTTTGTATTTAAATTTTTGAAGATCAATGTTATTTGTTATCTACTCATTATCTGTCTATATTTCTGACATGAGGTATTATGTACACTACATTATTTGGACTATTGTCCTCATCTTTGTTGCCATATTTATCACAACGTTTCGGCCTTTCAGTATCTGTCTATATTTCTGAGATGAGGTATTATGTACACTATTTACATTATTCAGACTATTGTCCTAATCTTTGACATGATATTTATTACAATGTTTCAGCCCTTCAGTATCTGTCGATATTTCTGAAATGAGGTATTATGTATACTATTTACATTATTCGGACTATTGTCCTCATCTTTGTTGCCATATTTATCACAACGTTTCGACCCTTGTACGCTCTGACCTTCTTCAGGTGGTTGGAATGTTGACCTGAACCCTTTATTTCGCTCACTGGGATAGACTGTTCTAGTTCCACATGCCATGTTTAATGGATGTCAGTTATCTCCTGTTAATTCCCCTCTGAAAGTTCTCCACTGCCTTACCAGGTATTGAACTCACACTCTTTGGGTCCTGTCACTGGATCTAACCAATGCCTTTATCCACTGTGCCATGTGTTCTTGAAGAAGGCCGGAGTGTACAATGGCCAAATCGTAATAAATATGGCAACAAAGATGAGGACAATAGTCCAAATAATGTAAATGTTATTATCTACTGTACTCTTAATTGTTGTTCCTTTATTGTCTTCTCTCCTTAATAGTATATTTTTCTCATATTCTCTAACACTCAATAACCACTTGTGTCTTAGTGACTTTGTTGCCTTGCTTGGAGTGAAATGATTAAAAAAAAAAAAAAAAAAAAAAAAAAAAAATGGTGTTGTATTTTTGTTATATAGGAATAAAGTGTTGCTGCCAACACTTGAGTTTGAACATAGATCACTAGTGAGCAAACACAAACGATCTCATTATTGAATTAAGTAGACCACGTGACCATAGAGGAAACGCATATATGTAGGAAGTAGCTGATGACTAACAATCACTATTTCTAGTCTATTCTCTATTACTATTCAGATTGATATTTCTACTATATAATCTGTTACTATATGGACCACTATTTCTCTCCTCTATTCACTATAATATTCCTCTATTCGGATTACTGTTTGAGTGAGTATTATCGAGCACGTACTATTAGTATGAGTGCTATTTGAAGGCATCTGACACCAGTATTGTCCGACAGCGTACTATAGTCTAAAGTCTCTACTACAATGAGCATTACAAAAGTGACGAGTATTCATTGGCATCACAAAAGTGGTAATGAGTGTTTGTTGACATTACAAAAATTTTATAAGTTCAGTTTATTTTAGTACAAAGATTAAGCATGTTGTATCCAGTAAGGGTTGAACTCACAATTCAGTATTAATGGTCTTCAACAAGTTTGTTAACCAGTGGCAGGATTGAACTGTTCATTAAAATTACAAAAGTTTGAAGAAACAGCTCATGGATTGTTGCCAAGTTAAAATTTTCTTTATCCATCATCCATTCTAACTATGACACAATATGTCACTAAATCCCTCACCAATAAACCAACTATTTGGATACACATTATGTGGGCCCTAAATGATTTTATTGGATGGCTGGATGATAAAGTTTTCGAAGTCCAGTGTTTAAAGTGGCCACTCACTTGACTGAAGAAGAAAACAATAAATAGAAGAAAACTTGTGAGCTCAAAAATTTTTGTCTGCAGCATTATAGAAGTCCCAGTTATTTATCAAATTACTTTCTCTATAAGGAGAAATAACAACATTTGACATATAAACATGCATACAAAAAAAAAAAAAAAAAAAAAAAAAATCAACACCAATAATCTTACTGATAAAACAGGATCTTGATCAATAAAATGAAAACAGCATTTTAGATAATAGAAAAATTCCCTTGAGAAATTTCAGTAAACTTAAATAATGCTCAAAGGTGAAATCCACTTTGACAGGAAGGGAGACAAACATGCTACTGTTACTGCTTAGAACACATCGATTAAGCCGAGGAGGAGAAGCCTAATATCTTCAGAAATTTATTAGTCTAGGATGGTGGGTTCAATCCTTGGTAGGACCACTGGAGTCAGTATAGTTAACAACAAGTATACTAATTACATCAAAGTTAGTATAAAGATAACTAAAAGTGAAAAAAACAGCAATCAATTGCTGCAATCTCCTGAAGATTGGACTGAATGATTACAAAAATTTCATTACAAAACTCTAAAGTACTGAATATGACATCAATCAGCTAAGTGACAAATTTGTATTAATCCTAATAATGCTCTGTCTCTGATATTGAGCACTTTACTGCAAAGACTGCTTGCCTTAAATGTCCTTTCTTCTTTCAGACTTCCACTGACTGACAACATTTCTGGCATGTCAGCTAATTTAGCAACATGGTACAACTGACTTTCAGCTTCTAAGTCCATGAAAGGACACAGAACTGATCCTTGGCAGAAGGCAGACGTGTCACATTTTCATTGAAGATGGAGTGCACAGATTCTCTGATCCAAGGAAAAAGTGTTGATCTGTACATAGTTGTATTTTTAATGGGTACTAATCTAGCAGAAAAAGAAAACGTTTATACTTACCCCACATTCAATACTGGCATTGTTTCGAGTTTCAAGTGGATAATATACAAATTTATAGCAATGAGAACCCCATGTGATCCAATCTGATGGGCAATCTAAAAAATAAAAGTATATAAAAACAATCTAATAAATGTTCTGTGAAATGGCACAGTCATTCTCTCATCTCACTACTCTCACACTAAATGTTCCTATTCACACCACACTAATGTTCCTGTAGCCTCACACTACACTAATGCCTAGCTCACTAATGTTCACTACACAAAATGTTCCCGTAGCCTCTCACACTACACAAATGTTCCCGTAGCCTCTCAAACTACACAAATGTTCCCGTAGCCTCTCAAACTACACTAATGTTCCCGTAGCCTCTCAAACTACACATTCATTCTCACATTTTCTAAGACCATACAATCATTATTGCATCCTCTAAATGTACACAGCAAGATGACACCCTTTTTAAAATTATTGTTCACCCAATACAAGGCCCTAAAGCCTTCAAAGTAGAAGGGTTACTGAATGGGGTTGTTTTATGGATATAATAATCATAGATTATGAGAATATGTAGTATAGGTAACTGATGACCTTAAACTTGAACTGGTTAAGATTTTAGTGGTTGGTTTGTGGAATATATTAATGTTCAAATATAGTCATATAAGAGAAGACCTATTTGCACAATAATGCTTGACAATCTCTCTTCCATACGTTCAATGCATTTCTGTAGTAAATTTTTAGCAATGTATATTTATGATTTCTGTAGAGAAGCTACAAAGGATAGGAATTTGTTTTGAGCTATGATCATAGAAGAAGCCTTCCACAGTACAATCATTACCAATGTATTTACATCTTATAATACCGGTTTCAATTTATGGCCATTGTAAATTTTTTTTTCCTTATTTTCAGTGGACATATAATGGACTGAGCATCAAAACTGAGTCAAACAAATTTTAGATAAAACATTGCCAAATTCAGTATTTAATCAGATAGTTTCATTACTGTTGGAATCATTAATTCTGTAGGTGTAAAAATATTTAAAACTGTGGTATAATATTGCATTTTACATTGACTTCAATTCCTCTGACCCGAATGCTTAAAGATTTTCAGCAATCTTTAACCTTCATGAAAAAAAAGCAGCCATACCTAGCTGGCCAATTGAAAAAGCGTTCAATTAGAATGGAGCAAAAACAGCATCATGTTTAGATGTAACAAAGTCTATCTTCTTCAATAACTTTAAGGTACTTTCATAAAAAATAAACATTTTGAATTAATGCAGTTACTGATATAACAGAAAGAGTCTGTATTTATTCAATTGAAGTTAGCTGAGGGCATGAAGGGTTAAAAACAGGCAACATGAAGACCCACTACAATTGAGTGAAGTTTGTATTAGATTGAATGAAAATTGAGTTTTTAGTTTAAAATTTGTGTTGAAATTGATTTTTGTTTTTCATTAAACACAGTAGCATAGAAATAAAAATGAGGTCTCATTGAGCTCATCATGATGGAAGTAACCTACATATCGAGTTTGAATGAAATTGGAGGAAAAAAAAGTTGAATTTATTGATTTTTGATTGGCATTATTAATCACTGATTTTTTTAAAAATTATCGATTTTTTTTACACTAAGAACCTATCTCTTACATTATACAATGTATGCGCCAAGATTGGTCAAAATCAGTTGGATTGATCTCTAGTGAAAAAGTATCACACAGACTGTTTTATTTATATATATATATATATATATATATATATATATATATATATATATGATAGATTAATTGATGACAATGTAGTATTCATTATTTACATTTTATAAAGAAGTAACTAGAGTTTATTTCCTATAGACTAACAGTAAAAAAATATTGTTTATTTATAAGAATAATTTCATATTTACGAAATTATAAAACTATGAGAACTAACAACAATGCTGTATACATTACAGTAACAAGCAAAGGTTTGATGATGCCCAAGTCTATTGCCTTGATTGTATTGCCTTAAGATTTGAGTAGGGGGTCCTATAGGGCCTAGTACGGAGAAATATGAGAAAGGAAGACATTTTAAATATCTAAAAACAGGTGGAACATGAAATAAACACTTTGTTCAAATTAAATATAAACTAAATTTTTATTTCACTCTTGGATTGGCTGTCCGGTGATGTTGCACTCTGTGTGCCCCCCCCCACCTGTGCAAACTAATGATTAATTATTTATCATTTTATAAAAGAAATAACCATGAAAATATTTTTATTAACAAATTTATACTATGAGCTATAAAACAAAATTAAACTTTTTCTGGGCATTATGCATTTTCTTAGATTGCTTCAAAGTGTGTGTATGTACGTATATATATATATATATATATATAGTAAAATAAATAATATATATATATATAATATATATAATTCAAGAAAGAACAGTTCTTATAATTCATATTTTTATTTTTACAAAACAGTGCTCACTGTAAATTTACAGAACATAAATATATTTCCAAAATTCACTTGAGGATGAAACAGAACTAATACTTTTAATTTAATTATATAATTAAATTTGAAGATTTTAGCTTTGGTTTTTGAAACATGGTAATTCCTGTGTAGTGAAGGATCCATATTTTTAAATCTGTTATATATATATATATCAGTAAATAATAAATATTGCATGTATAAATCCACTTTTTATATGGTTACAATTTTATTAAAATTCTAAAACTCTTTTTAAAATAGTAATTACCAAGTGAGTATAAACTAAGTCATGTTAATAGAAAAACTGTCTGGCAAACTTGAGCCTTCATGCTCAAAAAAAAAAAATTGTCAGGACAGTTTTTCCATTGACACTGCTATTATTTCAACTACCTTCACTCCTCAGCAGCAATGTGTTTTTAAAAAAAGCAATGATTAGAATTGTCATAATACTTAAACATATGAAAGTTAATTTATACATATTTTTGTCCTTGAGAATTTACAACAAAAATTTTAAAATACTATTTATTAGATTGTTTATTTACAAGAATAATTTTGTTTACAACATTCTAAAAACTAATACAATTAGAACTAATGTAATGCAATATTTATCATTTACCAATTTATAAAGAAATATGAAAACATTTACTAAATTATTAAAATATGTGAACCAACTATAAGTAAATCCTTATTTACCATTTTATAAAATTCATATCAACTGGCAATTAGCTGATGTTTTGTAACCCATTTCAACAATATATTAAATAAATAGAGTTAAAAAAAAAAAAAAAAAATCAAATAAATTGTGTTTATCATTTTTGTTGTCAATTCTCAAGAACAAAGAAAATGTATAATTCACTTTGATGTATTTAAATTTTATAACAATTCTAATCATCACTTTTTAAAATAAACATTGTTGAGAATTGAAGGTGCTTAAAATAATAGCAGTGTCAAGGAAAAAAAACCTTCCTGATTTTTTGTGGGTATGAAAGTTAAAGGATGGCCAATTCCCTTTTTTTATCTTGTTTATTTTATAAGAGACAGTAGTTGTAGTATCATTTCTAGGAGGAAATGAGAATAAAATGATTGAGATGATATCAACAGGTTGGCCAAAATTTTTCCACTGTATGCTGACTTGCCTTACTGAACAAGACTACACAGTCTGTAACATTAAATAACTCTTGGTAAAGTCAACAGGAAGTAAATTGGTACAAAAAGAAAAAAAAAAAAAAAGAAAAAAAAAAAAAAAAAAAAAAAAAAAAAAAAAAAAAAAAAAAAAAAAAAAAAAAAAAAAAAAAAAAAAAAAAAAAAAAAAAAAAAAAAAAAAAAAAAAAAAAAAAAAAAAAAAAAAAAAAAAAAAAAAAAAAAAAAAAAAAAAAAAAAAAAAAAAAAAAAAAAAAAAAAGAAAAAAGAAAAAAAAAGAAAAAAGAAAAAAAAAAGAAAAAAAAAAAAAAAAAGAAAAAAGAAAAAAAAAAGAAAAAAAAAAAAAAAAAAAGAAAAAAAAAAAAAAAAAAAAAAAAAAAAAAAAAAAAAAAAAAAAGAAAAAAAAAAAGAAAAAAAACAAAAAAAAAAAGAAGAAAAAAAACAAAGAAAAAAAGAAGAAAAAAAAAAAGCTTAATTTTCCTCTTGACCTCAGGGTGTGTCATGATATACATAATCATTAGAGTGGGAAATTTGTGGCATATTTGTTTAACACATCATATCAGTTCTTTATGGAGGTTACATAAGCAGATAATAATAAAACATAAAATCAAATTGAATACTAGTGTTTAAACCACAAAGGACATGTGTGCATGGAGCCCAGTTTTAGAATTGTAGAAAAATGCTAATAGATTTAAGTACTGTCATTGAAAATTCATTATACCAAATGTAACTCAATTATTGTACACTAGCAGCCATACTTAGCTGGTCAATCGGAAAAGCATTCAATTAGAATGGAGCAAAAACAGCATCATGTTTAGATTTAACAGAGTCTATCTTCTTCAATTACTTCAAAGTACTTTGATTAAAAAAACATTTTGAATTAATGCAGTTACTGATATAAAAGTAGTAGTCAGTATTTATTCAGTCGAAGTTAGCCAAGAACATGAATGGGTAAAACAGGCAACATGAAGACCCACGTTAAACCACAATTGTTTTGGTGTTTTTGAATTTCAATTTGTCAGTGTGCTACCAGGGATGTAAAAGAGGATACATTTATAAAGCAATTGTTAAGTTTGTTGAAAATTGGTTGAAAGATCAACAAAAAATAAGACAGAAACCAGTAAAAAATTTAAAAAAAAAATCAATTTCTCTATTTATGCAGTTTCACTATATAGGTGGACTCAATTATCAAGTTAAATGACTTAAACAATCATCTTATTTTTGGCTACAATTGAGTGAAGTTTGTATTAGATTGCTTGAAAATTCAGGGAGTTTTTAGTTTAAAATTTGTGTTGAAATCAATTTTTTGTTTTTCCCTAAACTCAGTGGTGTAGAAATAAAAATGAGGTCCCATTGAGCTCATCATGATGTAAGTAACCTACATACCGTGTTTGAATGAAATCGGAGGAAAAAAGTAGAATTTATTGATTCTTGATTGGCCTTATCAATTGAGTTTTTAAAAGTTATTGATTTTTTATCTCTTACTCTGTTTTATATATACAGATTGGCAGGCTCCAGATATTAGAATTTTTGTATTCATCTATATTAACCAATCAGCGACTTCAAATGAGATCTGTGGTATTTTTTTGTAATTGGCAGATGGTGAAATATCTTAAAATTTTGGAGGCTCGGCTTCAGAATATGTTCATTATTTTCCCTTCTTAAAAGCAATATTTAAAAATTAGGAAAATATATCTTAGCCAATAAGCTTGAGATTAATAAATCTAAATTTTAGATTCATCCGAAGCCTAGTATTTTATTATAAATATGATCAATTCTTGTTTGCTAACTAGCCTTTCAGTGAACCTTTGACAAGGGTGTTTGATCATTTGTTGCACAAACAAGACACTCACATTTAATTACTCATTGAGAATGCAGCCATGACTGGAGAAAATGATTAGTAATCATGAAATAGTACTACCTTGGTTTTTAGAAGTACTGAAAGTCATGAACCTTTTTAACCCACCCCCACCCACCATTGATCTGAGATCAGCTATAAGGCTTTGGACATCTTGATTTTCAGATTTTTCCATAAACTGCAGTATCATCGGTATACATGTATACTAATAAGCTGAGAATGTTAGTCAGTGAAATTGGGAGGGGTGGGATACCTACCTATAGGAAACAAGAGACAGAGTGGATGAACCGAAGTTTAGTGCGAGAGATTAAACACTGGTTGTGGTGGACACAACAGGACAGTATGAGGGATTATGAGTAAGGATGGTGGTTATAAAAGAAGAGTAAAGACAGGGAGGGGAGGTTTTTTTTTTGTGGTAGTCATGTAGACATGTTAATGAAAATGAGGAAAGTGGAGAAGGAAGTCAGAGAAAGGAGTCAAGATGAAAATTTGTTATATTCCCATCGAGACCAAGTCTGAAAGAAACCTGGGTGATTCAGAGTTTTACTTTTCTTGAACTACAGTCAGATCATTAATAAAAAGTAGAAAGAAGGTACGACCAAAGAAAGTACCTTAGGGAACATACGTATTGATCTTATAAGCTTCAGAAGTCTGGCAATTTACAACAATCTTCATTGACTTACCCAAAAGAAATGACTTGATAATTGCAAATTAGTTTACGTTCACTTTGCACTGACCATCTTGGGAAAGGTTAGAATCTACACTCTGATAAATAACAAGACAGATGGAACCCTTCAGCTTTGTACGGCCATCCATCTTGAGTTTTGGCAAACTAATCACTGAGAAAATTTACTTACTACAGTCCTTAATCTTAAATACCAAATTTAAAAGCTAAACATAAGAATTTTGGGGCCATATATATTTTGCAATTATATAATTCCCAATAATATATAGAAGTTTTTCTTTTTGCAATTACTTACCAGCATTTATCTGTGAAACAGCAATAACCAATAATAAAAATAAAGACTTCATCATGAAAACCTGTAAAAGAAAGAAAAAATTAAGTTAGCATTTGTTTAATCCAAGAAGACATTTTACAGAAAGGAATCTATTAAAAATATAGACAGTAAGAGAAACCAGTTCATGTGTCTTTTCTACAAATATTTTCATGGTAATTATTCTGATGAGCTTTCCTTGGTGCCTTGACTGCATGTGCTACTAGATTGGCAATTAGGTCTCTCTGTTTTAGTGTTGAAACTAGATAGATGTAACTATCTATCCTATTCTAATATTTTCTTTTCTTGCACTCCTCAGACATGGAGCTCCCTCCTGATTTCTTGCTTCCCTTCCACCTACAATATTCACATATTTAAATGCAGTGTCAATTGCCATATTCCGTCTTCCTAAATCCTGTTCCTTTCTATTCACTGAAGTCTTCTCATTCTCTTTCATTCCCAGTAACCCCTTGCGTCTTAGTGGCATTATTGCCATCCTCTGTCTTCTTGAATTCTATTCTTTTATTGTCCTTTCTCCTCAAGTCTTATTCTCTTTCATTCTTAGTAACCGCTTACATCTTAGTGGCATTATCACCTTGCTTCAGGGGTAAATGATTAAAAATAAATTAAAACAAAAGTATCAGGTACCAAACCACACAATTCCCCTTGATTAGCCCTTTCTACTGCTCTGGCCTAGGGTCATTTGGTAAGATTTTAGGAAGTGTGGGTTGGGCAAAATATACTTTTCAACATCTTGTACACAGAGAGCTAAATGACTGGTAGATATTTACTTTCATATGGTTATCTAACTCTTGACTTTTTAAAACATTTTCTCTTGCTGTTTAGCACTTGAGAGCATAGCAGGATTTTATCAGCATCAGACAAAAAAAAGAAAAACTATGTCTTAATTCTGATCAGTAAAGAACTCCCAAATCATAAGTGTGCTAGAACAGAGGTCAAACTGATCCACTTGACCTTTGCGTCAGTCATTACCTTTCAAAAAAAAAAAAAAAAAAAAAAAAAAAAGCTTTAAACACATCTCCCCTGTTTGTGGTCAGTCTACCACTTTTTTTTTTTTTTCCCCTGTCAGGAAGTTAGAGTTGGAAATGAAAATAGTGGAAGCTTTGCATATTCCCTTTAGACTATCTTCAGGAAAAGAATGGAGCGTCTTCAGGAAAAGCATGAAATTATCCGAAATTACGGACAAAAATACTGACAAAAGTCTCATCAATAGCTTGCCACAATAGTCGAGTGAACAACTCGGCAAAAACAATCTTTATAGCTGAATTTTTTGTCAATGTTATAAAAAGATAATAGTTTTTTTTTGTTTTTGTTTTTTATCATTTCTCTCCAAGCAAGGCAAAAATGCCATTATGATGCAAAGGGGTCACCAAGTGTGAGAGAATATGAGAAAAAAAAAAAAAAAAAAAAAAACATTAAGAAGAGAGAGAATACAATAAAAAGAAAAGAAATTAAGCCAAAAGATAACTAACATTGCATTTAAACTTTTGAAGATCATAGTGGAGAGCAAGAGGCTAGAAGAGAGTTCCACAAGTGAGAAGTGAAATAGAATATTCAGATAGAACTTACGATTACATCTATCCATTTAAACTATAAAATGATGAGACCTATCTGCCAATCTAGCACTGCACTTAAATTCATAGCTGCTAATGTAACTCATGATATCATTGGTAGGATTCATTAATTAGATACATTGAATAATAATGATGAGATTGAAAATGGTTAAATACTGGTTGGAAGTGTTCAAAATAATCTTTTATTATCAACAATTTCTCCACACACCTCAGGAGCACAAAAATGATTTATATTATATTCTTTTCCATTTCATGTTTAACAAAAATGAAGGATTGCTTCCCAAATATATATTTTTATACTAATGTTCACCCAATACAAAGCCCAAGAGCCATTCAAGGTAGAGGGTTACTGTGTAATGTTGTATGAGCATAAGAGAAGGCAAGGAGTGCAGTTCATGTAGGAATGATACGGGTTAACCATATATTTGAAGTTAAGATTATAGTGATCAGGATAACAGTCTGCTGTGGGCCGGTTTCATAGAAGTTCTTTCTCTCGTGGTGATGTTTTTTTAAGTTGTAGTTTTATGAAAGTTGTAGTTTGGAAATACAGTTTGATTTCTTTAAGTAATTGTAGGATATCATACGGATTAATGTCATGAAAACTCTTATATTGGTTGTTTGGTAGTATTTTAAACAGATTTGGCTGAAGCCACTACAATTTGTTTGTGTTTATTGTTGGTAATTTTCTTTAAATTCTATAAATACTTTCATGGTAACTGTTCCAATGAGTTCCTGGTTATAGTACCTAGACTGAATTTAAGTGATATTTCATCAATTTACAGTTGAGCTAGATAGATGTATCCATAAATTCTATGCTAACAGTTTCTTTTCTCACACATCTCACTTGTGGAACTCCTTTCCAGCCAACTTTAACCTACAAAAATTTAAATGCACTGTTATTGTGGCCTGTTAAGGGCCAGAAAGAAAGAGACGGAAAGAAGAAGGTAGGTTGAACAAGTGTATTGAAATAACAGAATATATATACAAAATAAGAGTGTTATTAGTCAGCAGATAGAAGTGTCTGTCCAAACTGTCAGGTTACACTGCATCCCAACTGCCTGCCTTAGGAAGTCTCACAGGTTAGTATTTATGAAAGAAGAGTTCATTCTAATGTAGATAGGTCACCATAACAACTGTCAATCGCTATTTTCTGTCCCCTGATTAATCTTTTCTAATGTTTCTGTTCCTAATCCTCTACACTTTGTAACTGTGTGTTAGTGGCTGTACATGATGTAATACCAATTAAAAAAAAAAATATGGGTATTGTTGAAAATTTTTTTTTATTATATAAAAATATATTGCTAGTAATTTTACTATAGAAATGTAGTGCACGTATTTTTATATTTTTTTTTTTTTATAGTGTTTTGTTTTTATTTGGGGGTTTCACTATTTGTCCATAGCTGGGACCCTAACAGGTGATACCACACTGGGTCAGAATGGATCTGAGAACAGCAGTAATTAAGAGGTGGTTCTATGCTCATCAAAACCTATCTCCCAATCAAAAGCCTTGCTGCTAGATGCAGTCATACCCAGGACTAAGAAAATTGACAAACATCAGCCCAGCATGAGGATTTATGAATAGAAATGACTGTCTATATTTCTGTGATGAGGTATTGTAATTATTTACATTATTCAGACTGTTTCCCCCCCTCTCTATCACTATGTTTACGACATTTTAGCCATTGTACACTCTGGCCTTCTTCAGGTGCTTAGAATTTCGAACTGAACCCTTTATTTTGTCCACTGGGGTAGATTGTTCTAGTTCTACATGCCATGCCTCTTCCATGTCTCAGTTATCTCCCTTTAACTCAACTGTCCAAGTTTTTGTTCACCACTACTGTACTGAGCTCACAACTCCTTGAGGACACATGGCCCAGAGTATAAAAGCATTGGTTGGATCCAGTGACTTGACCCAAAGAGTTGTGAGTTCAATACTTGGCTACAGCAGTGGTGAATAAAAACTTGGACAGTTGAGTTAAAAGTGAGATAGCAGAAATATCTGGAAGACACATGGCACATGGAATTAAAACCATCTACTTCAGTGGTTCAAAATAACGAGTTCAGTTCGAAATTTCATCACCTGAATAAGGCCAGAGCGTACAACATCCGAAATGTCGTGAACAAGGCAATAAAGACGGGACAACAGTCTAAAAAATGTAAATAGAAATAACTAAGTTCAATTATACATTGTAAATCTATTTGATGGCATACAGTTTTATTCCAAAAATTGGTTTAATAATTTTTTTTTTTAATTCTTCTATGTGTTATATACAAAATTGTTGCATCTTTTAGATTATTCTTTACCAGCCATATCATGATGAAACACTGATTCTCATATAATCACCATAATTAAGCAATGTCAAACCTGGTCAGTAATACCAAGTTCAGTAAGCCTGGATGTGTGGGTGGTGAATGCATTACAGCTCAGAATTGGAAATCGAAGAGCAATGTTACAATTCTGGTCGGGTTCCTTATATTCAATGCAAATACATTTAGGAAACATGAATCCAACTCTTTTGCTCTACACAGCTAATTAGTAAGATTTATTAGTAAATCACTAATATCCCAAATCTGAAAATATTTTCTGGTTTTAAATAACCTGCAAAAAGTTGATAAGCCATAAAAAACAAATCAATATCAGCAATCTCTCGCCCTCATATATATATATATATATATATATATATATATATATATATATATATATATATATATGTGTGTGTGTTTTGGCAGCAACCCCTCTTTGAAACAAGTTTTGTTTAGAACATATGACATGGTACTGTGGTTTTCTGGATATAAGTTATGTAGAAATTGTCTGAATGTTCTGTATGCCTGAGTACTTTTGGCTATTTTTTTAGCCAAAACAATTTTTTTTTTTTTTGAATGTTCTGTTACTTTCCTTGTTGGCTGCAAGGTCACAACATTTCATAATTGCATATTTGGGTAGCAATCCTTCTTTTGTCAAGTTTTGTTAAAAATGACCAACAAGGACAAGTGTGTGTGTGTGTGTTTAAAATTGAATATATAATCCCGACAAAGTTTTTAAGAAATTTGACTAATAGAAAACGTTTCATTAAAACTAAAATTTGATTAGGCATTTTGCCATTTTAGGCTTCATCAGTTCCATAAATCGAAGAAAGAAATACGTGTATGTGTATTAATGAATCATAGTACTTTTTCCCTAAAGTTTTTTTTTTTTTTTTTTTTTAAAGTCACTCATTTTCTTTTTTATTTAATCATGAAAAATGCCAACTTAGGGAAAAAGTATGAACATTCATTATTTAAGCATACACACATGTACTTTCTTTCGTTTTTTTTTTTTTTTTTTGATCTGATGAAGTCTAAAATGCTGAAATGTGTAATCAAATCTATTTTTAATAAAATGCCTTCCATTAATAAAATTTCTTAAAATACATACATATATTTTTATTTTTTTTTTTAAGCATTT